CACCACACATCTACACATTGCTTACATCACCACACATCATCTACACATTGCTTACATCACCACACATCTACACATTGCTTACATCACCACACATCATCTACACATTGCTTACATCACCACACATCATCTACACATTGCTTACATCACCACACATCTACACATTGCTTACATCACCACACATCTACACATTGCTTACATCACCACACATCATCTACACATTGCTTACATCACCACACATCTACACATTGCTTACATCACCACACATCATCTACACATTGCTTACATCACCACACATCTACACATTGCTTACATCACCACACATCATCTACACATTGCCTACATCACCTCACATCATCTACACATTGCTTACATCACCTCACATCATCTACACATTGCTTACATCACCTCACATCATCTACACATTGCTTACATCACCTCACATCATCTACACATTGCTTACATCACCACACATCATCTACACATTGCTTACATCACCACACATCATCTACACATTGCTTACATCACCTCACATCATCTACACATTGCTTACATCACCTCACATCATCTACACATTGCTTAAATCACCACACATCATTTATGTATATATTTATTTCCTTGTTTCGTTTTTTTCTCTCAAAATCATCGAGTTGGTAGTAGAAATAAAAATAAAACTTAATAATATACTGGGTAGGATAATGAATATAAAATGGCCAGGCTCCGGGATCATGAAACTAACTTAAGACCAAATTTTGTATTAAATCGGGGACCACGAAGCTCAATCTATGAGAATATCTTTAGTCTAAGAAAAAATTTGATCTTAAGTCCTTAAACTGCCCCCAAGTAGACTTAAGACAAAATTTGTTGCAAGAAAGATGGCGGATGTTGTTTGCCTTATGTGTCGCCTAGGGGCTAAAAAGGAAAAAATACCAATTCACCGGACAATTCGAGACCGCTTCAATCCACTTGATATGTACAACGACGAAGAGCTCTTTGAAAGATATAGATTTCGTCGGCCTACCATTTTGTTCACCGTTGGTCTAATCGGCGATGAACTGGCACACCCCACTCAGCGTTCCCACAGTCTGCCACCTATTATTCAAGTTTTGATATTCCTTCAGTTTGTTGCCACTGGTGCTTTTCATCTATTAGTTGCTCAGTCGTTTTGTGTCAGCCATTCTGGATAGTGTTTACAAAATCACGTTATACATACACCGGTAATGATACGCCAATACCGTCCGTATATTTCAAAATCAGCTGCGACACCTACATCCTTGAATTCCTCATACATTTTAGAATCAAATGACAAATGGTCTTTGTCACCAATATAAATTGTCTAGATTTGATGATACAGCTAGTGCTCTATTAATAATGGTGAAACATTAGTCAAATTACACTTGATATTTTTTAATTATGGTTACTTTAAATCGCACCCTTTTCTCACTGCTTTTGAGGTTTGTGTTGAGTAGTATACAGGATTCAGGCAGTGAGCAATGTGACTCAGTGTGAAAAATTAGATGGTCTCCGGGATTCAGGTTGGTTGGATGGTTGTTTTACACCGCACTCAGCAATATTCCAGCCATATGACGGCGGTCTGTAAATAATCGAGTCTGGACCAGGCAATCGTGATTGATATCATGAGCATCCATCCATGCATGATTTGGGATAGATGACATGTTTCAACTAAGTCAGCAAGCCTGTCCACCCGATCTTGTTAGTCACTCTTACGACAAGCATAGTCGCCTTTTACAGCAAGCATGGGTTGCTGAGGACCTATTCTACCCTGGATCTTCACGAGTTCCGGGATTCAAGGAAAGAGGGGTTAGCCTCTGTTATCATTGGTCGTCACTTGGCAGTATATAAAAAAAACAAAAAATATTTGGTACATATAACATTTATATATTTGTCATACACAACAATGCTTCATTGCCATAATATACATCAATACTTACATCAATATACACAATAACAAGCCTTTGTGTTACTGGTGCCATGGGTGCAAACATTGGAAACAGTGCATACATCGGACCTTTGCTTCCACATCTTCCCGAGGCAAGAGATTTAACTGACTTTAAAAGTCCAGTTTCCCCCCTTGCCGATCTAGGCTGGAATTCCTGGGCTCGATCGTAGCGCCACCAGTGGCTATTATGAGTTATTTCCCTTCTATGCCTCTCCTGTTGACCAATTAGATTCCACCTCTCGTATCACTTGCATTTACTTCCAACAAAATGGTGGCGCCAGTCAAGACGATCTGATCGAGAATCAAGATCTATATTGTGATAAAACGGGTCTAACATCACAAAGTGCATCAAATCCATGAGCACCTTGATTAAAAACATGAAAAGATTTAGAAAATATCTGTTGACAACAAGTTGGCTGTGCACATGCTTTTCAAATCCTGCAATGAACCAAAATGTGCATGCCAGTTTACGAACCAGATTTCGATTTCATTGCCCGATTGTGATTGGACTATGCATAGATTTGTAGTCCAGCCAAAAGGTAACTCCATAATACCAGCCTAGTTCATCAAGGGTGGAAACTGGACTTTTCTAGTCAGTTAACTCACTTGCCTCAGGAAATGTCGCTTCCATCGCAACCCCAACAGATGATTAGCAAGTACATTCGGAAATACATCATTTACTCTGGAATACAGGAGTATATACAATGACCAGTGAAATTGAATTTTTTATAAATGACCAAACATAAGCTTCTACCATCAACAAACCCCTTCTAAGGGCACTATTTGCCAGTATAAAGTGACTCTTGTACCTTAAAAGAAATTTACGATGTAATTTTTGGAAAGTGTAATTACATGAAATGTGTCCATAAATTTGTGTTTTGGGGGATATGAGTGCACTGTACATATTTTGTATAAGCAATACTTTGGGCCTTGAGGTCTGCAATACACAACCCAAACTGCCTGGGAGGCACCAGAAGGTTAACAATCACATTGCCATCTCATCCTACCGGGTACCCATTCATAGTACATGCAAAATACACATGTGTAGGGCTGACAAAAAAGATCGATGATCAGAATTATCATCAACGGGAAGAAATATTAACGATTATCGATATGAAAATTGTGTAATCGATAATACCCTACATTGACTATTGCGATGAAAAAAAGTTTAGATTTATCAAACAGACTTGTTATTATCAAAAATGTTAATTGCTGAACATGGGAAGTGACTGTTTTTGTTATATCTAAAAAGGCCACAAAGTAATCCCTGCATAAATGTGCCACCACTCGCCAGTGGAGGAAATATGTTGATTTCTTAGGGATTTGTTTTGCGTATTTGTTCAAAGATACTTCTCAATTATTTATCGATAATTGATCGATATTTAGTTAACGATTATCAACCTCTATGATCTGTATCGATAGCCAGCTCTATATAGAATTGTTTGCCAAGACTGAAAGTAGGTTTTGACGGACATACTTCATTTTCGTAACACTACTGTAAACATTTCTTTTCTTTATTTCCTGAACAAATTGCACATCTCTTTCTTGGGAGAAGATGAAACAGAAATTGCAGACCTAACATACTTATTACAGTCCGGTCAACATATAAATCATGTAGTATTTCTGCAGGTGGCAAGCCCAATACATACAAGATACATCACATAAATACCAGTGACCTCACATTAAAAAAGCACCAATACTATAAGTTCATACTAATTTGAATAGGAGGGAAAAATAAATTAAAATTTAAATCTAAGATACTATCTATTTAATTACTTGTTTTACAGATGTTTTAAAAACTTGAAGGCAGGAGGGTGAAAAGTAAAAACAAAAACAAATATATATTTTTTTTATGAATGACTAATAATTATCCCAAAAACTAATTTCTATAAATACAAAACCTCTATTACATTATATTCCAAAAACCCTGTATTTCATCTGTCATCCGACAAAAACATCTTCCGATTTTCAACAGAAGTCCTCTTCATGGGCATGGCTAGTTGTGCAAGTAATAGTATCTTGCCTCCGATGCCTCACGTAAAATACATTATGTTTTTTCTAAATGTTATCCTTTCATATCAGGTGACCTGAGGTTGCAAGAACAGATTTAGTTACAAGGTCAATGTTACCAATACTTTGGATAAAAGATACCCGACACTAATATTTCCAGAGTCTTAAAACATATTTGTTGAAAATGTCTGCCTGATCTGTAAAACAAGTAACGAAACTGCTCGGTACTAATCTAATCTTCACATTTTATTTGACATGAAAGAATAAATCTTTCGACATATATTCGTCATAAACGGTACTGAAACATTTTTTTGTCACTGCCGCTAAATCTAAAAATTCTCACGTGCCTTTTGGTCACTACATTCACATCACTGACTGCAATATTGCAGCTGTATCACTGCATCCTGTACATACATCAACTAGTGGTTGACATCATGAGCACACATCCTCCTGAATGTTGAAGCAAGTGTTACCATGTCACCATACAGTGTCACGTCAAGGTCACACTTTCGTTAAATGAGAAAATATGACAGCAACTATCAAATCTGTGTGTGTGATTCACTCCATAAAGTCCTGCTGAACGTGCACCTAGCGAGTGGGTTGGTTAACGCCCCTTTGAAAAGCATATTCGTAGATAACAGCATGTCAGCTTGATGTGCGAGGAAAGCTTGACGTGATGCAGGTCTTGCCACGTACCACTTACGTGTAACCAATGAGTGCTGACAAACCTAGAAACATTATCATGATTATCAGGAATTCAATCCCACAAGTGTAGGTTTTTTAAATTCTTTAGCCACAGTGAAATTGCTGCCCCCTGTTAGTTAATGTTAGGATAACACCAACACACCATTTTGATCCGATTTCAATTATATCACAGTATGTCTGCTTGACATAGGTTTGTTTGTTTGTTTGTTTGTTTGTTGTTTAACGTCACACTCGGCAATATTCCAGCTATATGACGGCGGTCAGACTCGAGTCTGAACCAGACAATCCAGTGATTGACATCATGAGCATCGATCCACGCAATTGGAATACAATGACAAGCATCAACCAAGTCAGCGAGCCTGACCACCCGATCCCGTTAGTCGCCTCTTACGACAAGCATTGGTTGCTGAAAACCTAGTCTACCCCGGATCTTCACAGGTCTTCTGACACATGGCTTCACACTTTAGTTTTTGATCAATGATAGCTTCTCTCAAACCACTGCTTCCAAGTCTTTGACCAAGCAATGTGGCACACTTCCGACGTGTTGCGGCAGTAGCGTAGATCATGTGCTGGCGAGAGTCTTGAGTTTCCTGTAGTGGTTATTCACCTCCTGCAGCTGGGCGGGGAAGGGGAGGCCATGCTTCTTGTACTGCATCTCAATCAGACTCATCACACTCTCCAACACAAACTGAGCATTCTTCAGGATGAACTTGTGCTGCAAGGGAAAAAATACCTGAGTATTTAAATATGTGTATCATCCAAACTGGCGTGTGTGTTATCAAGTGATATCACCAAGCCAACTTGCTACAATGGAACTGCATCACAATGCTTTACAGACCATTGTGACATCATTAGTCACCATGACATCATGAGTCATCATGACATCATGAGTCCCCATCAGTCACCATGACATCATCAGTCCCCATGACATTACCAGTCACCATGACATCATCAGTCACCATGACATCATCAGTCATTATGACATCATCAGTCACCATGACATCACCAGTCACCATGACATCATCAGTCACCATGACATCATCAATCCCCATGACATCATAAGTCCCCATGACATCATAAGTCCCCATGACATCATCAGTCACCATGACATCACAATCAAATGACATCACTAATATCTGTTCTTAGTTGTCACTTCCTTACACAATCAGCTTGGAACAAAGACATGTTACAATATAAAAAACTGCTTCCCGAAAACCTCTTTAATAAATCTGCCTTTTTAGTGTGTCGAAATATACAAAATTAAAACGTACTCACTGCCCAACGAAATGTGAACCACAGAAACATGTAAAGAAGTATGTACGTTATGACGAGATGTTTCCAATGTGTACCAGTCAATGACAACACTAACAATCAATCAAAATGAACGAAAGCATTTTTAGGAACCTACATACATATATAAAGAAAACAAAAAGGTTTGAGGGAGCAATGTGAATGTACATACTTTTCTCTATTTCTTTTCTTTCCTTTCTGTCATTCAATGTATTACCATAAGCCTACATGTAAATCTATGGGAGAGGGCGTTCTTAGTTGTGATAACTTGTGCCCAATACTTTTCATGAGAATAAAATATGTTTAAACTAAATCAAGTGTTACCACAGTGTCTTTATTCTTATCACGATATGCTGCACGTGATTTCCAAACTTTAGACACTAATCCTGCATGAGACAAATGGTGCATCTCGTGTCAGGGATCATTGACGTCACATGCGATGCGCTCATCAGGGTCGATTCACACAACATATCAGTATGTTCGTGCGTGTGTCGAACCAATCTAACATCTCTTGATCACTGTACCATCGACAACAGGACGAGGAAGTCGACCATCCGCATCGGAACATGTTCGCAAATATACAGGTAACTCAGCTAATACCAGTTTGTATTTGTCTTTGATGGACGTCGAGGTTGTGTCAGCCTCCCTCCGGAAGCAAATAATTGAAGGGAAAGATGTAAACTTGGCATGTCTATTGATGCCAGATGACATATCTTCACATCCAAGGGTGATCGAGATGGGCAACCATGAACTCCACCTGAAGTCCTCCACTGACCACAGGCTACAAGACATCTTGACCATTCAAGAGTTTATTGTGGCATTCACCCGGTACAGGAACATAATGGTACAGGAGTGGCCAGGCTGTAAAGACGCAGTGGACCGTTATCAATGATTGATCGTGGAGATGCACGCCAGGTTTGGAGGTACGCTCTTCTACCAATACCATAAGACGTTCTCGTCCAAAGCAGCAGCGGCCCTGGCACTCACCAATCAACTACCGTCATGGGATCGACATGACGAACTCTACAGTTGTGACACTTTCATTAAATGGGAAAATATGACAGCAACTATCAAATCTCTGTGTGGGAATCATTCCAAACGGTCCTGCTGTACTTGCATCACACATTGTACCCAGGTCGGGAATCGAACCTGGGTCTTCGGCGATAAGCGAATGCTTCAACCACTAGGCTCCCCCATGGACCCGTAAAGATTCCGGGGTAGAATAGATCTTCAGCAACCCATGCTTGCCGTAAAAGGTGACTATGCTTGTCGTAAAAGGCGACTAACGGGATCGGGTGGTCATGCTCGCTGACTAGGTTGATCAATTGCGTGGATTGATGCTCATGATATTAATCACTGGATTGTCTGGTCCAGCCTCGATTATTTACAGACCGCCGTCATATAGCTGAGTGCGGCGTTAAACATCAAACCAACCAACCACTTCACAAAATGGGATTCTGAACTTTGCGCTGCCACCGTAGCGTGTGTCCGTTTCCTTCCTGTCTCAGACTGGTACATTGCATCTACGTCTCAATAGTCGTTGTGAGTAACCAAGTCCGACTAGGCAAACCAGCCAATGACACGATAACCAGCAGTCCATGCTGCCTGTGTACAAGTGAATGAATGCTGTGTAACAGCAGGGTATTAAACTCCCAAACATTTCAGCCAGACCACAGGACTGGCTAGCTGAAATACTTGCCAGCCCTGACCAAAACCTGCCTGCCCACTATAATCATATGTTTCTCAGGATAATTTAACTAAAAATATGAAAACTGATTGCTTGTAGCATAAGCGCATCGCTAAATGTTAGGTTGTCTAAAAGCTAACTGGGTTTCTTTTTGGTTACATTTTATCATTCATCTTTACATGTGAATATTAATGCTTATCATCGGGAAATATTTAGAATATTTTCACCTATGAAATATAACCCGACCGTCGGGCAGGGGGATTTGAAATTCTGGCAGCCCGAGTTGAAATCAACCCGTCTCGGACGGTCGGGCAGGCAGGTATTTCTAACGCTGGTAACAGTCAACAATTTTCCAGCGATATCACTACAGCTGTAAATTATAGACTTAATAATAACTGATATTGTTAGCCTTCTATGACCCATAAACCAGGGGGACCAGCTGAGCTGTTTCACGAAGTGCTCACCCATGAGTGCTCAATTGCTCGTAACCCTACTTTAACACTGACTTACGACAGACGTAGGTCTAAGTTCCCCTGATCAATTCCAGTCGCCTCTTACAAGGAGTCTATCAATAAATCGAACCATCGCAATTGTTTGCCCTGCGATTGCACTCTATCAATTTCTATTAAAAAATACCAATAGTATTGTCAATGGTATGCATAACAATCAATAGTTTAAATAGCTGCAATTAGTTATAAATAAAACATAAAATCTTCGCATTTCAAACCTGCCTGATGATGACAACTTGACAATAGAGTGACTTCCCTTTGGTTTGAGGAAAATGGCCGACTTTGAGTTTGTCAGCAAAACTTTATTCATTTCTTTTACATTGACGAAAATAATTATCAAGCCTTAAAGTAAGGTTACTACTATCACAATACTATTGCAATAGTTGATGACTATCACAATACTATTGCAATAGTGTGGGCTACTATCGCAATAGTGAAACTAGCCCCAATAGTCGCGGCTAACTCATACGTGAGATCTACTCTCACCAAGTATCTGAAAGGGGTACACACGTCACACATTGTGACCATCTGAATCCATCTGCCACCTAGTATCACTGTGCTTAAGTCTGGACTCAAAACGTACCTTTTTGAACGCTACAACTGAATGTGTATATTTTTACTATCTTACTGTCCCCTCTCTGTTGTATATGTGTACATATTATTATTATTATTATTATTATCTGAATGAGGTACTCGGGTCTACAGACGCCAACACTTACATCCTGAGTGTAGTTGGGGGACTTGAGGGAACGCTCGAAGTGGGCGATCTGGCTGCTGAAGACAGTGGTGATGGCGTCAGCGATGAATTCCTCCAGGTCCACGGCGTACAGCTTCAACAGGTCCTCCGAGAACAGCAGCAGACTCTTGGAGAAGTTGATGGTGTTCATCGTCAGACTGATGAAACACTCGTCTACAAGAAGTGAAACGTCAAGAGTGAGTGAGTAGGCGAGAAGGTAGGTAGGTGAGTGAGTGAGTGAGTAGGCAAGTAGGTAGGTGAGTAAGTAGGCAAGTAGGTGAGTGAGTGAGTGAGTGAGTGAGTATGGTTTTACACCGCTTTTAACAATAGTCCAGCAATATCATTGTGCCCATGTGGGGAATCGAACCCAGGTCTTCAGCATGATGAACAAACGCTTTAACCACTAGGCTAACCCACCACCCCAAGTAGATAGGTGAGTGAGTGAGTAGGCAGGTGAGTGAGTAGGCAGGTGAGTGAGTAGGCGGTAGGGCGAACGAGTAGATGATAGAGTGAGTGAGTAGGCATTCAGGTACGTAGGTAGGTGAGTGAGTGAGGGCAGTGGAGTGAGTGAGTAGGCAGTGGAGTGAGTGAGTAGGCAAGTAGGTGAGCGAGAAGGTGATAGAATGTGTGCATGCTGGGGTGAGTGAGTGAATAAGTGAGTAAGTAGGTGTGAGTTATTGAGTGAGTGAATGACTTGGTTGATGGATGTCATCGTATCCCAAATGCGTGGATTGATTCTCATGATGTCAATCACTGGATTGTCTAGTTCCGACACGATTATTTACAGACCGCCGTCATATAGCGAGAACATTGCCAAGAGCGGCGTCAAACTACTAACAAACAATACTTTTTTATAAGTTACAGTCAGCAATATGACAGCTTTCAGCCTGTAACTAATCAAGTCTGGATCGGCTGTACTATCAGCTAGGTCACACTACAAGCACAAGAATCAATACTGCAGTTTCAATAAGCTGCAAAATCTCTGAGGATCTTGTGTGATAGGTTTTCACAAAGTTTTACAAGGAGACAAAATCAACCAAACAAAACCTGTTTGCACTACTTACCATACACCATAGACTTGATCAGCCCGAGTCCTATCTCAGACATGTCGCTTACAAACTTGTCACAGTCAGTTTTGTTCAAGTGATTCATCGGTCGCCATCTGTCATCCTAAAAACAAAGATACGATACGAGTGCGAGACTCAATGTTTTGGTGGTGAACATGGTGATGCTGGGACGTGTTCAGGTGATTTGTTTTTAGAAGTTGGAAACTTTTCTCAGGCATGTTTCCCACATAGGATTGAAAGAAGGGGGATGTAATGCATAACGTTAAATATACATAATTATCATTATGAAGCCATTTTATATTTTCAGTGCCCAACAATTTTTTTATTTTACTAAAGGCAAAGTACAAAGTTCTCTTGCTTTCAAATGATGTGGTTGCCATGTATCTGTAAATCATTAAGTAAAGTAGGTTTTTCCATGTCACCAATGTCCAAAGCCACGCTATTATTGCACCAGTTACAATTTCTCAAACTTATGACCCTCCTTCTCATAAAAATACCCCTGTCCAAGAACCAACCATACAGCTCAGACCACCGATTCTTTCATCTTACAATAGTAAATCTGTTAAGGACCACCCGATGAACTAGTGGTTGATAGCATGAACAACGTCCTGCATGTGGGAGTTACAGATGTGATGATTGATAAAACATATAGTTAAACACAACTGTCTTGATTAACAAATTTCCACACAAATAAATCTTTGTTAGTTGAGAGGGGTGTGGGTGGCCTGGTTGTCTAAGGTGCCGCAATTCGCTGTGCAGAGTTGCGTCCCTTGGGCACGTTGGACACCTATGATTGTGGGTTTGAATCCCACTTTGTTGCAATTATATTTCTAGGTCTGTCAGCACCATACCCATGCTCGTGGGTATCACAGAAGTCTGTGACCTGCATCACTTCGGGCTTTCCTCCCACATCACCATTGCATTGTGGGAAAGGTTTCCGGAGTAACAGACAACCATGTTTTTACTGTACAAGGACAAGCCTAAGTGCGTGCGTACCCCTGCTCTGTACTTGACTCCCTCTACCAGCTGGTCTCGCGACTCGTCAATCACACGACGCAGGGGCGTGTCCAACATCCCCGCCAGTGAGAAGCCAAGGTCAAGGCCAATAGTACTCAACTGAAACACAGAAACATAAAAGTGAGAGGCTACGAAAGCAATGCTCTTAACGCAATAGCTAGAGCCACACGATTCTGCCCTTAACCTGATTTTAACTTGATTATTTGTCATAATAACAGTGGATATAAGAATGTACTAGCATAAATTTTGATTGAAATATTGTTATGAGATGTATGTCAGTCAGTAAAAGTATTCAATAGTCAAATTTCATAATGATACTTGCAAAAATTGGCAAAATGAGTGTCTAACATTGGATCAGTTTCAGTAGACAATTTGGGGGGGTCGGGTAGCCTAGTGGTTACAGCAATCGCTCGTTGACCCAAAGACCCGGGTTCGATTCCCACATACAATGAGTGAAGCCCATTTCTGGTGTCCCCTGCCGTGATATTGCTGGAATATGGCTAAAAGCGGCGTAAAACCATACTCACTCACTCACTCTGTAGACAATTTTAAGAGATACCATAACTGGAATAGTCAAATAATGTCAACGTTTATGACGGACAGAACTTTGATCCAGGTGAGCTACATCAGTGCAGCAGCACAAGAAAACCAAGAATAACTCAGACGTCATCTGAACCACGTGTACCACGTACTAGGGCTGTAACGATTCACTGATACTATGATATCATCGGTACTAAGGTACAGACGATACTTGAATTGTCAGTTTGTGAGATCATGACACGCCACACATAGAACAGACACTGAAAGAGTTACCTCCCATATAAAGCCAGACGTAGCATAGCACAACTTGTAAACATGGCGGAACACGAGGACGTGGTGATAGAGGACACGCCAGCTATTAAACTTTAACATTCAGTAACCATCCTTTCATTTAAAACTGTTTTGTTCTTGTTTTGTTTTTCAGATAATCATAAGTAAATGTTTGAATCCGGAGGTTGTAGAGTTATATTTCAGTAATTTCATCATTTTTTCCTATTTGTTGGTGTATCACGATACGTATTGTATCGCAAGATATCAGGCGATACTCAGTTCAACCATGTACCTACCTGTGAAGAGCCGGGATAGAATAGATCTTCAGCAACCCATGCTTGCCATAAAAGGCGAGCTTGTCGTAAGAGGTGACTGATGGAATTGAGTATCAGGGTCGCTGACTTGGTTGATGCATGTCATCGCATCCCAATTGCATGGATCGATGCCCATGATATCAATCACTAGATTGTCTGGTCCAGACTCGATTATTGACAGACAGCTGGAATATTGCTGAATGAGGTGTGAAACAAACAAACAAACAAACAAACAAACAAACAAACAAACCTCCTCGCAATGATCCTTGGACATCTGCACACACTCAGTGACGGTGGTCAGACTGGACTTGCTCTCGAAAACCTGCCGGCAGAAGGTTGCCACAAATGCTTCCAGTTCCTGCTTAGACCAGACCACAAAGGCTGGAACACAAACAGATCACACGTGCAGTGCCAGGGTACGTAGACACTCAACCAACCTAGTCACTGAGCCTGACCACCTGATCCGGTCCACTGCATGTGGATTGCTGGGGACCTATTCTAACATGGACACCACCCCCCCCGACCACCCCCTAGTCTGAGTGTAGACCGCCTCCCTGGTCTAGTGGTAGAGCGGAGGTCAGGGGTTCAATCCCCGGCCGCGTCATACCAAAAGACGTTAAAAGATGGTACTTGTTGTTACCCTGTCTGGCGCTCGCCATTAATGGGCTAAAACAAGGACTGGTCGGCTCGGAGTCAGTATACTGTGTCTGAGTGGGGTATTCATGTTAAACTGCGGCATGGTATCTCAGTGAGCTAGCACTATAAATCGGCATCAGTCCGGACTAGTACAAGCAGCCACACAAACACACACATACATGCACGTCGCTATATAAGTGCAATAATCTTGGACGCGACGTTAAACCCCATTTCACCTGACCTCAAGCCTGAGTGTGATAGGTTCAACACCACTTTCAGTTACATTACAGCAAGACCAAGGATCACCTGGGATTTGAACCCCTGATCCTGGCACAGCAAAGGGATGCAACTCTACACAATGTGTCGAGTGAGTGTGTTTACCTGAGAAGCAGCCGTAATGGTCTGGGAAGGCCTTCAGGAACTCCCTGGCCGTCTCCGACAGGCTGGAGAAGAAGACGCCACACAGACAGCGGATGTAGAGCGCCGTCGCTCCCTCGAACTTCAGCTGGCGGATGTTGTACTTGATGATGGCCGACCGGTTCTTCAGGAACAATTCGCAGGCCTGGCAACAACACAGTCACTGATAGCCTACTTGCCTTTAATCAATACAGGATTAATTTTTCACAATTAGGATAATAAAATGAGCAATGCCAGGTGAAATCAAAAGTTATCATCTACCGTGTCTATCATCATATATACCGTATTCGACGTAATAAGCGCCCTGCTCTAATAAGCGCCCACGGAGATATTTGCTGATATATTGGCTGGTGAACAATCCCAATTAGCACCCCTTCCGATTGATCAATGTACGCAAGACTTATTTATTCGCATATAATACACACTCGTGTGTTATATACACCCTTAACTATCGGCAATTAAATTCTGGGGAAATATATATGTCGTACATAAACATTTCAGGCTGTCACCATAAACCACGAAATTTATCTTTCATCTCTGTTTTTTTTCACCAAAATAATATTCTAATAAGAGCCCCTTATTTCTAATTTTGAGAGCGCCCTGGGCGCTTATTACGTCGAATACGGTATGTCACATTATATATCACAAGGACTTCTATATCATGTATATGTCTTATCTGGATGGACTGGAAGGGATGTCTGTCTGCTATTTGTAGAGGGCAAATAATGCTACACTTGTAGAACTACTACTTAAACTAAAATCTGAGTACATCCCATTACAGGTCATGTCAGAACGACCTTTCACAAACTCTGACCGACCAATGAAATGACTAAGCCAATGACATTAGCCAATCAGAAAGCAGCTTTCTCAAGCCATAAGTCACAGGTTTCAAATTGGCGATTTCCATTCAAGACTATAATTAAAAACTTGAAAACTGAACAAACAGAAATTCTGGAATGTCTGTGGAAACTATGTTCATATATCAGGAAAAAATGTCACCAATTAAAGAACGCATTAAATATTTAACTTTAAATACATATATTGAATTTTATTTCAAATTCAGCTATGAACCTCCCCTTGGATTGGTCTGTTGGTGGTACCGAATCTTTCTTTTCACTCTACATGAGCAAATTAAAATGGAATACACCTGATTACTTCATGTTTGTAAACAACCATTTATTCCTTCATAGTAATTTCAATTAACAATTTCGTGTTGTTGAAAACTGACCTGTGCTGACTTGCCGAGGCGAATGAGCTGAGTGACAGCTCGCCTGGCAGCTCGTGGCCCCCCTCGGAGGGAGCGTTCAGGGGAGACCTGCAGCTCACTCAACAAGCCCTCGGTGAGCTGCTTGACGCGGTGGTCGATGCGGGCTCGGAACTCCTTCACCGATGGCGTCCGGGGGCAGTCCTTCAGATGGTCATTGGCTAAAGCACAAACTCTTGTCTCCGATCAGTGTTCACGTCATCATACAGTTTACTCTTTACCATCATCTTTCTCAAACTTATAAAAAGGATCATCATGATCAACTATCAAATTATATTTGTCATCATATCATTGCATCAGTATATACAGGGTGAGAATTGGATCTTTTCCTTTTCAGCTGAAACTTCTTAGCAATGAAGCGTGGTCCATAATTTGGGGGTGTTTAGGGGGAAGCCATGAGATTTTAACGAATTTGTGGTCGCTAAGATTTGCGAAAATTCGCGAATCAGCGGAAGATTCTCAACCCTATATATATATACCCTATGTATATATATAAGATAGCTACAAGATAAATCACAAAAAACAATGAAGAACAAAGGATGAGCATTTCTGATTAAATGCAATGTTTTTATACTTACCTGACGCTACACCTATATGACTGTGTAGCGTCAGGTAAGGTAAGACGTGGTTTATTTCACGATAAAACATTGTTCTATCATGACTTCATGTCTGGAAACTTCAAACATGCGCTCACAGTATGATGACGTTATTTTTGTAAGGGAAGTGTCTAGTGTGAGTTGTTCCCCATGGATGTCGCAGGAGAACACATATAAATGCAATGACTGAACGATCACACCCAAAAGTGAGAGAGATATGACAATCGGTATTGGAAGAAAAGGTGCAGATAATCGACTTTAAAATTGTGAGAATACCAAACTTAACCCCCCTGTACATAAAATGGACTTGTCCGACATTGCCAAGGTCGGATTGTATTCAGGGAGTCATTATAACTTTAATGCGAGTAAATGTTTTAAAAATGTTTCAAAAGATTGTACATTTTATTGACATTCTTTAGAAGGCTGAACAAAATGTTGATACCTCACAGTTTATTCTCCCTGCAGTGTTTTATTGTACGATAAACAACTCCCACTCAACGTTTATTTCTTAAATGCAGAATCTGCAGGACTCCACTAGGGCTGGGACGAGTCCAAATTTACTACCGGGGTACCCACCCCCTATTACCCGACCCTACCCGGGTACCCACTGTAGGTCTCAGGAGATGTCTCAAAATGTCCGATTGGGAACATTTTTAGCATAGACGTATTTGGATACATGTATTAAACAATCTGGTCATTCATACACTGAAGTTGAATTAAGTTATATGTTTATTCAACCATATGAAAAATCAGAAGAAATGGGTGCATAGTCAGAAAGAAATGCGAACATTGTAGTGGAACCATAGAGTTCTAGAATATTTTTGTCATTAAACAATATATCACGTGACTAACCACGGGTCCGGGTAATCCTATGGGTACCCGGGTCCTAATCAGTCCCCACCCGACCTGGGTACCCGAGTTACCCGTCCCAGACTTGACTCTGAGGTTCAGTGACCCACCTCTCTCAACAAGATCCACTGCTCCTTCAAAGTCGCGCTGCGCGATGCACATGTCAAGGTCTTCTGGGAGCTCCAGTAGCCAATCAGCACTTAGATAATCAATATCCTCCTCTTCTAGTGTAAATGCTGAAACCAGAGATTCTAGATACTGTAATACCTCATGACATTCTAAATGTACTACAGTTGCTCATTGACTGATGACAATATGTCATTGACAAGCTAAAATATCAACTGCTGATATTAATTAGGTTTTCATGCGACAATATGATACATGACACATTTTTGACTGTATTGATACAAGACGATGCACTGCTAAGAATTACTTACTACCTGTTTAGTGACCCCCCAACGTTTTTATCGCAAAATGTATTGTAATTAGCGTTTTAAGTCCACTACTAAAAACAGACACTACGAATATGTGTCTACAGCTAGCTTTCTCTCTGGAACCTACTCCAAGGTAATTTCTAGTCAAAAGGTTTGTACACGATTAATGTAAATATGCGTATCACGTATGTATCGTATCATGACCTTCATCTCATATCGTGACCTTGATGTATTGTTTTGCCCCTAACATTGACAATGCCTATATATACCCATACTTTCAAAAGATGTAAGATGGAAAAATGTTGAAAAAAGTAAACAAATATGTCAGAATTGTAATTTTAATGAGTTAGAGGATGAATTCCACATAATAATGAAATGGCCATGTTTTAATGATTTGAGAAATCTTTTTGTACCAAAGAAATATTCAAGGAAATGCACATCCAAATGTTTTGTTAATGAAATGAATGATTATGATCCAGCTATAGTAGAAAACTTGCTAAAATTCTGTAAAGTTTCACTTGTGAGGAGAGCATGTTATCTAGAGGTGTAACGATACGGGAGGGTCGCGATACGATACGTATCGCGATACAGTGTTTATTGGTACAAGCTAAGCCAAGTTGATGTCTTTCTGCTCTCTAACAGATGTGACAAGTACAGTTGAAGAAGATTTAATGTGTTTATTTACTGTTATAGCAAATTGTTAGCAATACAGTATGTTTTACTGAAACAACAAACTGGCTTTGAAACTGTTAAACGTATTTCATGTATTTTCTTGAGTATAGTGCGCACCAATGTATAATGCGCACCCCCCCTTTAGCGGGTTCAATATTTTGGGGAAAAAATAAATTTGAATATTATGCGCAGAAAAAAATTACACCGTACCCCTTCAGCGAAGTCCGGCAAACGAACGGGTGATGAGAAACTTCGTCAGTACAAATTCGAAATTTGAGATAAAAAATCACCAGACATGTTGATTTACCGTTTAAATTGTATTTTTTGTTCAGCTAGGCATTGTTTTATATCCAGGGATTAAGATTACCTTGTGTATTTTCTCGTAAACTAAGCCGGACACAGCAATCAGCTGTACACACGTTTTCTTCGAATCAACAGGTGATTCGGTCAAGACACACCCAATGATATAACTTTACAGGATTTTAATGCAAGGATCGGCAAAAGTTGTATCTGAAACTATATTTTTTATCAGGAATAATATATTCCAATATATTGTTAATTTAGATGCAGCTTTTACTAAACATATTTAAAATAATAATAACCCTAAGCGAAGTAGCTGATCGCTATTGCCGGGTATTATTTTTTACATGCAACCAGTCTGACCAGTCACCGTCGCACAATTAAGATCTATTTATTGTATTTGGTGGTAATTTATACAGAAATAAAGATTTTTTTCGAAATAAAAAAAGGGGGGGGGGGGGGGTCGCGCCCATGAAATACGTTTAACAGTTTCAAAGCCAGTAAATAAACACCTTATATCTTCTTCAACTGTACTTGTCACATCTTTTAGATAGCAGAAAGACATCAACTTGGCTTAGCTTGTACCAATAAACACTGTATCGTGATACGTATCGTATCGCGACCCCTGTATCGCGATACGTATCGTATCGCGACCCTCCCGTAATATTCCACCTCTAGCAATATTCCAGCAATATCACGGCGGGGGACACTAGAAATGGGCTTCACACATTGTACCCATGCAAACATTGGTCTCAGTGCTATACAGGTCCAGCACTCCAAGACAGTGTGTCAGGACCAATCTCATCAAAATCAGAACTTTGTTCTCACTACTGCTAAACAAAGATCTGAGGACATCCCATTACATGTCACGTCAGAACGGCCTTTCACAAACTTTGACCGACCAATGAAATGACTAACAAGAAGACGACATTAGCCAATCAGAAAGAAGCTTTCTTGAACTTTACAGCAAAAGTTTCAAACTGGCAGCTTCCATTCAAGAATATGCCTTGAAAAGTATCAATTCAAAATTTGAAAACTGAACAAACGAAAATTCGGGACTGTCTTACAGATGGCTGAGATTGTATGGCAGTACTTCCCACGAGCTATTCCATTTTCAGTGTTCATCCCATTGAAGCGAGAGATCAGTCGTACAGCCCATAAGTGTCGTTCGGAATGCCTGTGTTAACCATTACTAGAAAACACATTTCTGCTGTCATTTTCTTGATCTGGTAAGGAACGCTCTAATTGGTCGGCTGAAAAACTTTCTCAGTGACCCATAATGCAATGTCTTAGATCATTGTTTAAGAGTGAGGTGAACTAAGATCTGAGTTTAATGAGATTGTGTGAGGACAAGCCGAAGAGAGATAACTGATAACAGTCAATAAAGTAAACAAAGTTGTTTTCCATGACGCTCGAGTGAGTGAGTGAGTGAGTGAGTTTGATTTTACACCGCTTTTAGCATTATTCCAGCAATATCACGGCGGGGGACACCAGAAATGGGCTTCACACATTGTACCCATGTCGGGAATCGAACCCGGGTCTTCGGCGTGACGAGCGAACGCTTTAACCACTAGGCTACCCAACCGCCCCATGACGCTCGAGGTCAGCCCTTAACACTTCAATTTTCCTCAGTGTAACATCAACGAAACTTATGACTCTGGACTCACAAGTAGCTGCCTCTGCTGACGGAGATGTCGCAACCTCGGCTGCCACTGCCTGCTGTTCGGCCAATCGTAGAGCAGCTTCTTTCCTTTGTTTGTCCTTTGCCACCTTTTTCTTCTTTGTGTCCTCCAGGATGTCCAGCCACTGCCTCTGTGTTACCATGGTTACATGTCATCAAGCAAATATCTAACATGGTGTTTTGAGAGATGAGGCTATTCTATAAACATTTGATGTGGCTACAGATGCCGGTGGCAGTGAGTGAGTGAGTGAGTGAGTGAGTGAGTGAGTGAGTGAGTGAGTGAGTGAGTGAGTGCGTGCGTGTGTGCGTGCGTGAGTGAGTGAGGTGAAATTGGTTTTAACGTCGCGTCCAAGATTATTGCACTGCTTGTACTAGTTCGGACTGATGCAGTTTAACATGAATACCCCTCTCAGACACAGTATACTGACTCCGAGCCGACCAGTCCTTGTTTTAGCCCCTTAATACCGAGCGCCAGACAAGGTAGCAACAAGTACCATCTTTAAATATCTTTTGGTATGACGAGGCCGGGGTTCATACTCTGGACCTTCTACTGTCCAGGCAGACGCTCTACCACTAGACCATGGAGGCGGTCGAGTGTGAGTGAGTGAGTGAGTGAGGAACATTCCAGCAATATTACGACAGGGGACACGAGCAATGGAATTAAACTGGGGGCCCCGGCGTGAGGAGAAGAAGAAGAAGAATATTCCATCACAAGCTATGAGTACGGAGCAATATCAGGCCTGGTCTGCTGCTTACCTTGGCCTTAGTGCTATCTGCCTGGTAAATCCTGGTCTCCGGGAACATGAGCATCTTGAAGGCGTTCTTCACTGGCCCAACATCCTTGACGTTGACTATGGCTAAACTGTCCAGCTCATACAGCCCTTGAAAACGATACCTTACGTTTCCTCGCCTAAACAAAGGAACAAACGAACATGTTTACTTGACCACACAAAACACAAATAATACTAAACTTGACAGCCATGTAAGAGGCAACTTGTTTTGTTGTCAATGCCACTGACTTTCATTTGGGTCTCTGATCCCAGCTCTGACAAACACAGTAACTATACTACTCAAAAGAAGTTAAGGAATATCCGATTCTTTCGTATTACTATGGTTAATCTGCCATGCCATGAGAGATTACCTTGAGGAATAGGAAAGAATCAACTGATCCTTAACTTCTTTTGAGTAGTATACTTTCCACCATAGTCGCTTCACAAGGACTGGCTCAACACTTGTAACTTAGCTGGACAAACAAAAACTACATGACTGCTCCCACTTTGGGGAATTTGATCGAATGACTGACAGTGAGGTGAGGTGAGGTGAGGTGAGGTGAGGTGAGGTGAGGTGAGGTGAAATGGGGTTTAAGGTCGTGTCCAAGATTATTGCACTTATATAGCGACGTGCATGCATGTGTGTGTGTTTGTTTTGCTGCTTGTACTAGTCCGGACTGATGCCGATTTATAGTGCTAGCTCACTGAGATACCATGCCGCAGTTTAACATGAATACCCTACTCAGACACAGTATACTGACTCCGAGCAGACCAGTCATTGTTTTAGCCCCTTAATGTCGAGCGCTAGACAGGGTAACAACAAGTACCATCTTTTAACGTCTTTTGGTATGACGCGGTCTGGGATCGAACCTCGGACCTTCCGCTCTCCGGGCGGACGCTCTACCACTAGACCACGGAGACTTGCATAACAACGCTTTGTACAGTATTTCAGTCATATCATGGGGTGTCAGTGAGTGAGTGAGTTGGGTTTAACGCCGCTTTTAACAGTATTCCAGTTATATCGCGGCGTGTCAGCTTAATGTGGGAGGAAAGCCCGAAGTGATGCAGGTCTCAGACGTTTACCACTACGGTGAAACCCACGAGCACGGGTATGGTGCTGACAAACCGAGAAACATAATCAGGGCGAACCGGGATTCGAACCCACAATCATAGGTTTCTGGCGTGCCCAAGGGACGCAACTCTGCACAGCGAATCGCGGCGCCTTAGACGACTGGGCCACCCGTGCCCCCCTCATGGGGTGGCAACTTGATGGTGGAGGAAAGCCATGCACGTTCACAACTTTAGTGAAACCGGTGGACACGGGCACAGAGTTTATTGCAGTAGAGCTGAGAATCACCAGGTATCTTGCAATACGATTCATATCACAATACGGACTGACGATACCACTGGTATAACGACACATCACATCAAATAGTAAGAAATGATGAAATCAATGAAATAGAGTTTAAAAAAATTCTTTTATTTATTGTTATCTAAAAAACTTTAACAAAAAAAAAAACAAGAACAAAACAGTTTTAAATGAAAGGGATGGTTGTTAAATGTAACAGTTAATCGGCTACCACATCCTTGTGTTCTGCCATGCTTACAGGTGGCGCGATGCTACTTCTGCCATTACGGGAGGTAACTCTATTAGTTCCTGTTCTATTTATAGTGTATCACAATCTCACCAACTGACGATTCAAGTATTGTGTGTACCTAAGTATCGATGATATTGTAGGTATCGGTGAATCATTACAGACCTAGCCGACAGACCTAAAAAAATAATCTCAGTGAATCCGGGATTCGAATATACGATCATAGGTTACTGGCACACATAAGGGAGGCAACTCTGCCTCAGATGACTGGGCCACCCATGACTCCAATTGTATGGGCAGGCTAGTCCCTACTGTTCAGCTGGGGACTGTCGACTCACCTGTTTGGAATCCAGGTGGCGATCATGAGGCTGTCGTTGAGGAGGAAGGCGTGGACACGCTGTATCGAGGTAAATGTCTCCGTGTCCAGCTCCATCAGGTCTCCGTCGTGGATCAACTGCCTGCCTGGTACCTCGGTTACACTCTGACAAAACAAATGTCGTGAGGTGTGGTGAAATGGGGTTTAACGTCGCGTCCAAGATTATTGCACTTATATAGAGTGTGTGCGTGCGTGTGTGTGGCTGCTTGTACAAGCCCAGACTAATGCTGATTTATAGTGGTAGCCCACTGAGATACCATGCCGCAGTTTAACATGAATACCCCACTCAGACACAGTATCCTGACTCCGAGCCCACCAGTCCTTGTTTTAGCCCCTCAATGCCAAGCGCCAGGCAGGGTAACAACAAGTACCATCTTTTAATGTCTTTTGGTAGGCGCGGCCGGGGATCGAACCACAAAGGCGGTCGACAAGACATAGGTAATTTAGCTCCAAATTGGCATATATTTCAAGACAGTGGCCAAGTTTCAATTCCAATGTGGACTGGTACCAAAACATTGGTAGGGAGTCCAGATTAGAACCATCTTCCCGAGGCAAAGGAATTAACTGACTATAAAAGTCAAATTTCCACCCTTGCCAAACTAGGCTGAGATTAAGGCTGAACTAACGAGCCCAATCACAATCGCGTAGCGAACTAGACATCCAGTTTGTAAACAACATGGATTTCAACATGCAGACTTTGGTCGACTGCAGAATTTACAGTCGACAGATATTTTGCAAATCTTTTCATGGTTTTAACCAAGGTGCTCAAGTGATTTCATACACTTCGTGGGGTGAGACACGTTTTATAACAATATAGATCTTGATTATCGATCCAATTGTCTTGACTAGGCACTGCCATTTTGTTTGAAGCAAATGCAAGTGATATGACAGATATAATCTGATTGGTCAATAGGAGGGATAAAGAAAGGATATAACTCGTAATAGCCACTGGTGGTGCTATGATCGAGTCTGGAAATTCCAGCCTAGTTTGGCAAGGGCGGACTTTTAGTCAGTTTATGCCCTTGCCTCAGGAAGATGGGTTAGAACAGATCCCCAGCAACATATACTTGTCAGTAGGTGACTGTGTGGATCAGGTGGTCAGTGACTTGGGTGATTGCGTGTCATCCTACCCTGACTGTAAAGTTTGGAGTAAGTGAAGTTTAGACCATCAAACGTGTTTGTGGTTTATTTGGTCTATCACAACCATCTGAAACAATCCCCACAAGGTTATATATGACCTGTAGACCTGTGAAGATCCGGGGTAGAATAGGTCTTCAGCAACCCATGCTGGTCATAAGAGGCGACTAACGGGATAGGGTGGTCAGGCTCGCTGACTTGGTTGATGCATGTCATCGTATCCCAATTGTTTTGAACGATGCTCATGATGTCAATCACTGGACTGTGTGGTCCAGACTTGATTATTTACAGACCGCCGTCATATAGCTGGAATATTGCTGAGTGCTGCATTAAGGTTCTACTACACCAAATCAGAACCAGTTTGGACAGTGCGGTTTTCGTAGGGAGCCTTCAATGCAGATCGAGAGATATCTGCAGACTGTGATTGGAGGATATTCTGTAAGATTTTTATGTCTTTCAAATGTACATCCATCCAGTTATTAAAACTGACCATGTTTTTCTATATTTAGTACTGTCTTTTTCAACATGATGACTTATGCTGAATGTGACCACAGCTATTTTCAAGTAGGTGACATTTGGTGCGAAACTTGGGGTGGTGTGTTTAGCTTCCTGTACTTGGAAAAGGAGCTGGCTAAGCTAGTCATTTTTTATGTTTACATTGCTGCTCTAAGGCCAAACTGTGCACACACGTACAGCTGTTGAATGCTTAGTTATTTAAAAAAAAATATAACGTGACTATAGAAGTCTATGGGAAAACATTTGGTTGTGTGTAACCTTAAACAACAAACAAAGCATATGACCAATATACTTACGGAGCAGCCATCAACTTTCTCCAATAGAAAGGCCAGGTTTTTCCGAGTTTCTTCCTCTGGGCTCTCCTGTTCTTCTTCTTCCTTTGGACCCTCAACAACCGCTACAGAAAGTAAATAATCACTGATTCTAAAGTGTTCACAGCAGTGAGTAGTTACCATGGTTACGTGAGAGTTTCATGTGTTATGTCAAGGCATGTCTGCTTAATGTGGGAGAAAAACCCAAAGTAACTTTAGAGAACCTCACAAACATGTGTATGGTGCTGATAGTCAATGGTTCATATTCAAACACTGACCAAATCTGAGATTCAAGATCCATGACCAACAAAGGGAGATAACCACCTGATCTTATGCAGCTATGATGTGATGTTTCAAAACCAAATTGGTTTTGGGCTAAGAGACTGCATGCATGTTTTAAGTCTATCATGCTATGGTCATGATGCTTAGAGCACAAATACCGAGGCTTTTTTTAACAAGGCCTTCGGGAAATACTGTGTCTGGATATCCCAACATCCGATTGTTGCTGCTGGTTATAGGTTTGCCAAGACGAATGCATGGCCACCAGACAAAAATCTTTTGCCATGTTGCATGTGTCTTGTTGCCATGGTCACCTACCTTTATCACTATCAAGTGTGGCCTACTCTCTTGTCGCAATGGTCACCTACCCTTATCACTAAGAAGTGTGGCATAGTGTCTTGTCGCCATGGTCACCTACCTTTATCACAAACAAGTGTGGCCTTGTGTCTTGTTGCCATGGTCACCTACCTTTATCACTAACGAGAGACATCTCCATCATGGAGGACATCAACCCCTTCTGTTCTGTCAGCATGTGACTCAGCTGGTACATCTCTCCCTCCAGAACTGTAACCATGGTAACACAATTAACATATGATTAAATTAATAAATTAATTAATAAAACCAAAACACTCTTAGATAGTTTGCATGTTTGCATGAAACGTTGGAAATAAAAACAATTTAAGGAAACAAATTCTGACATTTTAAAGAGTTTTGTTGTATGTTATCATTATAAGGACTAGTGGACTTAAACTGTTAGTTTCTACTGCTGCTGAAATTACCATGGTTACTTATAATAAATATAAAATAAATGATGACAAGAAGAAGTAAAACAAATTACTTGATATCTCCCTGGCCGTCTCGATGAACTGCGTGTAGTTCTTGTAGACATTCTTCTTGAGAGCTTGTGCAGTCTCATCATTGAGAATCTGCACCTTCTGTTTCATGTCAAGTAATTCATTCTGATCTCCATGGAATGTGAGCTTGGCCACAACTGTAAACGTAAGATATACAAACTGTATTTCTGTTTATCATGTTCACTGGCTTTGTATTTGTGTTATCCCACCTTTCTCAAATGCCAAATTATTCTGAGAAATTAAGATTCAAGCTTTATCACAGAACCAATAAATAAAAATCTAGTCTGGACCAGGTAAACCAGGGTTGATAGCATGAGCACTACTTCATGTCATAAGAGTGAGTGAGTGAGTGAGTTAGGTTTAACGCTGCTTTTAACAGTATTCCAGTTATATCATGGCGTGTCAGCTTAATGTGGGAGGAAAGCCCGAAGTGATGCAGGTCTCAGACGTTTACCACTTCAGTGCTGACAAACCTGGAAACATAATCAAATTAGCTGATTCTTACATAAGCTGATAAGTTACAACATGCATTGGCCATGGATATACAGACACTGATATGATTATAATGTGTGACCTGTTGTGATTGCAGGTAAGGATTGCAGGTATTTGTCATAAGAGGTGATGGTCAGCCTTAGTCACTTGGTTGATGCATGTCATTGTGTCCCAATTGCTTGGATCGATGCTCATGACGTCATTCACGTTACTCAAAGACCGTCAACATGTAGCTGGAATATTGCTGAGTGTGGCGTAAAACAGACAAACAAGCTTACTGAGCATAATTTGTAAGTCAGGTTTAAACATGGATTTAAATAAAATAATGAATTGTCTTCGAATGTGGGGTAAACAAATGTCCTGGCTATGTGATTTGAGCTCAAAAGTGACATGTTTACAATCCGCCAGTCAATGGACGTTTTTCTTAAAATATCCTGTGTAGCCAGATGAAAGTAGATCAGTGCATCAATGATACCTCAAAAGGATGGGTTTTCACACAGGTTAAGCATGCCTTGGCACTGCAAGGATACCATGCACTGGAACCCCAGGGGTGGGGGTGGGAGGGTTTTAACTGACAGAACTTATAGTGCTAAAGTGTGGGGGGAATTGATCAAACATTTGTTATTCATATTTGTGGATTTCAGTCCTTGTTTTACAACCAAAATGTAGGGAAGTCCGGTCGAAAGTTATCGATACCACATGACAAGAATATTTACTTGACTTTTCTCAAGTCAGACACTACAATGAATGTCCAAGATCAGAATGACAGCTGTGTCATACTCAAGTCAAAGGCCTGACTGAAAATGAAATATGATTAATACATTGCAATATATTCGTATAGTCTTACAATTTTCAGGATTGAAATCCGGCTTGGATAAGATTCTTGCTAAACCTTCGCTCATGTTGGTTGCGCGATAATTCAAAACAATACAGCAATTCAACCAGTCTACAACATTATTCCTGGAACTCCCCTTTTCGACAGGAAGTAACTCGGACTTAAGGGACAAATCAGTGTTTCATAATGTTATATACATTTAATCGCTGACAGCGGTTATTATTCACATTCATATATACCTGTACATATAATTACTGTTATAACTATTATTGATATCATAGGAAAAATGTTACATCATGATAATATACTTAATAATCACAATGTAACGTTTAATAGCCTCCATCAGCAATGATTTCTCCATTTCTGGCGCCAAAAAGGGACACTACTCTGTTTTGTTGACGAAATCACGATGGATCAAAAGAAGCAAGCCAAGCCAAAAAGCAAGAAAAACAAAGCCCCAAAACCAGCTCCCGATAAGGTGATCATTCGCGTATAGATATACTCTTCTATAAATACCTATATATTTGATTTGTCCATGTACCCAAACAACTGTGACAATATGCATACGAAAATCGCAAGACCAACAAGGTGCTCAGAATTCGCGCGCTCCGGTTATAAAATAACGGGGTCGGATAAAACAAGGCCGAGAATTTCACCTCGACAAAATGAAATTTTCTCAACTCTCAGTAAATTTAATAAAATGAATAGAGATGTGTTGCTATCACTTTAGTATATATTTTTGGAGCACCTTCAGGGTACCACAACTAAAGACGGCAACAATGCAGTTTACCGGGCGCAGCCTGAGTTCTATCATCCAGTCAATTACCGCGCCATAGTGCTACTGCTGTCTCGCTATACCGTTACCGTGCCTCACGCTCCGGTGACTCTGCTTTTCGATCCAACACCCGTTTTCGGTCTTTTTAGGGAAACTTACACGTCTTTACGATCCAACACCTGTTTTCGGTCTTTTTAGGGAAACTTACACGTCTTTACGATCCAACACCTGTTTTCGGTCTTAGGGAAACTTACACGTCTTTACGATCCAACACCTGTTTTCGGTCTTAGGGAAACTTACACGTCTTTACGATCCAACACCTGTTTTCGGTCTTAGGGAAACTTACACGTCTTTACGATCCAACATCCCTTTTCGGTCTTAGGGAAACTTACACGTCTTTATGATCCAACATAATGGTCCTTAGGGTATGCATGCTTTGGGCAAGGGTTAGCCATAATTTCTTCCCTTTCAAGCGTTAATCCAGTTAATTCCGATTGGGAGGTCATGTTGACAAAAACAATGGCGGGTGTGGTTTCAAGAAAAGATGAATGGGAGAGCGGACAGTGACGTCACACGCATGCGCAATTCATTGTTTTCTGAATTACGCATGCTTGTGTGACCCGTTTAACAGGCACTGATTACATGTGATAGCGCTCGTGGTCCAGTGGTAGAGCCGGCGAAGTGTGTTCGAGCCCCCACATCGCTAATTGGATCTGAAAAAGTGCGCCCGGTAAAGTGCACTACCCTAAAGACGAGCAACAAGATTTTGTGAGAATCCATCGGACGTGAGCTCGCGACAACTTACCGGCTGAGCTACGTCCACACTGTTAAACTATGTGCAAATTTACCTAGTCATGCCTACAATGTTACGGAACTGAACGAAAAGGGTCGAATAGGTCACAGACACTTACGAAGATAATGGGTAGGCTCGGTGTGATCCTGATGCCATTTGGCACACTCGTCCCATTCCATAATCTACAAGATACCGAGTGGTGAGGGATGAGCCGATATGGCGCGAACTGAAAACGGCTCAAGGCATCAGACATCAGATCTCTAACTCGCGGATATGCGTGAATGACATGGTATTTAATAATTCATCGGGTCATTTTTCTGACAGAAAAGTGTGGTAGGGAACACTGTAAGGATAATGTGGATAATAGTAAGGAATAGTGGGGGAAGCATGAGCATGGCAACGGTGAGTTCCATTTTGAATCAGTACTGAATAAAAGTAGCGGGTGAAAGTGGCATGTGTGAATGTTCCAGGACAGTTCCCAGTAGCCGAAAATATGACACTAAACCATTTCATCCTTTTCACTCGACGTTTTTGTGTGAAGAATATTAGGAGGCGCTATAGACTCTATAATAGTCTCTAAACAGGTACCTAACACTAATGATCGTAAAGGGGATCCAAGGGCTAAGGATAGAGTTTGGGGTAACCTACCCTAACACCGGTGACATTTGGATGTGTTCAGCATCAGTATTATATACCTAAAAAAACATTCTTGTGCATTATAATGAAAATTAATGAACCCAAAAAATGATATATGTATATTAGTTCCCATTTAACCCTTGCCCCAGGAAGTTGCATCTTTTGAGATTTGATTGTTTGTTCTGTTTGTTTGTTATTTAACGCCACACTCAGCAATATTCCATCTATATGACGGCTGTCTGTAAATAATCAAGTCTGAACCAGACAATCCAGTGACTGACATCATGAGCATCGATCTAAGCCATTGGGATACGATGACATGCATCAACCAAGTTAGCGAGCCTGACCACCTGATCCCTTTAGTCGCCTCTTAAGACAAGTATAGTCGCCTCTTAAGACAAGTATAGTCGCCTTTTACGGGGTTGCTGGAGATCTATTCTACCCAGGACCTTCATGGGTCTTTCAGATTTGAAGCAACTTTGGATTTACCTCCAGGCAGTTCTAGTTCATATCTGTCATCATGGTCATACTATGTTCTGATAATATCAATTTTGAATTATAAACATGCTAAAGGTGGCTTGGCAGAGAACATGATGATGGTATTCATGTATTCATATGGAATATCCTGTTGCCAGGCAAATTGGGAACAATTAATCATTATTTTGTTCAAAAGTGTCAAAATAGTAATTTCTTAGTTGTTAAATTCAGAGGTATTTTATTAACATTGCATTCAAACCAATGATGTTAAACTAAGCTTTAAGACTCTTTCCCTGTATTGGTTCTGTTGGCCGTAAGATATAACTGTCTTAATTCCAGCTTGTAAAGTTTACTGACATTTGCTGCAGGTGTTTCAATTATCTGCGAACTGTTCATAATACATATTTTGTTTTCAGACCCCAGAACCAGAAGAGGAGGAAGATGATGATGAGGTGTGTGTTTTTGAAGTAATACAATCTTGTTATTGTCACAGTTTGAATAAGCTAAAAGCAAACCAATCTCATTAACATCAGATCTAAGTTCTCGCTGCTGCTAAAGAAAGATCTGAGAACATCCCATTACGGGTCACGTCAGAATGACCTTTCACAAACTTTGACCAACCACTGAACATGCTGAAACGACTAACAAGAAGTCGACATCAGCCAATTAGAAAGCAGCTTTCTTGAGCTTTACAACACCCGTTTCAACCTGGCGACTTGCATTTCAGAATACATTTGAAAAATATGTTGACACAGTTCTCGATTAGATTTTTGAAAACTGTACAAACATTATGGAATGTCTAATGTATGGTTGAGATTGTATGGCAGTGCTTCCCACGTACTGTGCAATGCCTCTTCCGTTGAAATGTTTATCCCACTGAAGCGACAGGTAGACGATGATTTTGACGGAATCAGTTGTTCAGAAAACCCCATGTAAACGTTTTCAAGGTTGCATGATTAGAATACACATACCGACCATCACTTTCATGATCTGGTAAGCGACGCTTTGATTGGTTGGATGAAAGGTTGTTCTGACATGACCCGCAATGGGATAGCGAGAACTAAGATCTGATTTTAATGAGATTGAAAGCAAATTTGTCAATGATGATAACGTAAATCATCATGAGCCTATTTCTGGTGATATTACTGGAATAGTGCTAAATCTGGCATAAGAACATAATAACTCGCTGATATTGCCATTAACATCTCAATATGTAAGATGAATATTTCTACATGAAACCATTATCTGTCTTGGCTATAATTTGCTAGTATTGCTTTTCGGACCTGAAAACTCATTTGCAGCAACAACTTGAACTAATGTATGAAAAAAGGAGGGTCACGATATATGTTTTTGAGTAAAAATACATTCTAGTTGCTTTGTAAAACTTCAGCCACTGGAGGTTCGGTTTGAGCGTGAGGTCGCCTGGTGCAAGGAACAGCTCTTCCTCAAGCTTCACCAGGTCAAGCTGGACTCGAAGCAGGGTGAGTGAGGGAGTTAATATTTCAGCCACATAGCAAAAACTATACAGGACGAGGCTACTGTGGTGATATTTTAATCATTCTCATTGGTTATTTCATTTTGGGGGGATATTCATTACATTTTTACAACCTTTGGTTTCATCTATTGAGTATTTTTAAACCGATGAGAAAATGTTTTTAGTAATTATACAGTTTTTAATTGTAGTGGTAAAAATGCCTTATATATATTTGAACCCGTGAAGATCCGTGGGAGAACAGGTCTTCAGCAACCCATGCTTGTCGACTAATGGGATTGGGTGGTCAGGCTTAGCTGACTTGGTTTATGCATGTCATCGTATCCCAGTTGCGTGGATTGATGCTCATAATATCAATCACTGGATAGATGCTCATGATATCAATCACTGGATCGATGCTCATGAGACCTGTGAAGACCTGGGGTAGATTAGGTCTTCAGCAACCTATGCTTGCCGTAATAGGCGACTATGCTTGTCATAAAAGGCAACTAATGTGATCGGGTGGTCAGGCTCGCTGACTTGGTTGATGCATGTCATCGATTCCAATGTCATCATCATGATGTCAATCACTGGATTGTCTGGTCCAGACTCGATTATTTACAGACCGCTGTCATGTAACTGGAATATTGCTGAGCGCGGCGTAAAACAACAAACAGACAAACAAACGATGCTCATGATATCAATCACTGGATTCTCTGGTCCAGGCTCGATTATTTACAGATTGCCGTCAGGGTGCTGGAATATTCCTGAGTGTAGCGTCTTTTTATCTCTTCAGCTGGCCCCACACAGCTTTGTTTCTGTCATAAGTGTGCAGTAAATGCATCAAGGAGTAATGCAGGATGTATTCATTCCGTTGGTTGCAGGTTTTGACTTGGCTAGAGCCATGAAGATCTTGGACAGTGACAAGGCACCAATGATAAAGAAGCGGCAGGCGATGAGGACGACTCTCGGAGACTACAGGAAGAAGATGAAAGAGGATGAGAAGAAGCGAGCAGCAGGTTGGTAACCATGGTTACTATGTACACCTATTGTGCTGGAGCAGGCCCTGATTATCTCATGCTTGTCATAAGGAGGATTGGGGTAGCCTAGTGGTTAAAGCGTTCGCCCATCACACCAAAGGCCCGGGTTCAATTCCCAACATTGGAAGCGAGGGTTCAACGTTTAAATTTTTACCAAGTGATATGATATGGCTACAAGTATTTTTTCCAGGTAGCCAGTGTTAAAATCAAGAAGTCAAGCAAATATTGAAGGTAGCCAAAAGCATTTGAAATTATCTTTTATCAAATAACTATTATAATATGTACAAGTTATAGCACTAGTCTTGGAATTGTATATTAGTGGAAACTGTACTTGATTTTTGTTACTTGTGACTCGAAAAATGATACATTTTATGTTACTAGATTATATAGGTATATCCTTGCTTATCCATTGAGCATTGTCAACTAAAATAAAGTACTAATTACATTAATATTTATGTATTTTGGTTCATTGTCAACTTTAGGAGGAATTATTTGTGCGTACAATTATAAGCAGACATGTTTTCCAAGATCAGCTGTTATTTATTTTTGTGTCTACATATGTGTAGCAATAGAATTTAGTCGCCACAAGAAATTTTTCAAGGTAGTCATTTGGCTTCCTCTGGATTTAAGTCAGTAGACAAACTCAAATTTAGGTCGCATTGGCGACCGTTTTAGTCGCAACTTTGAGGCCTGGAAGCCCATTTCTGATGTCCCCCGCTGTGATATTTCCGGAATGTTGCTAAAAGTGTTGTCAAACCATACTCACTCACTCTACATGAGGGTAGCCTAGTGGTTAAAGCTTTCGCTTGTCACGCTGAAGACCCGGGTTCGATTCCCGACATGGGTACAATGTGTGAAGCCCATTTCTAGTGTCCCCCGCCGTGATATTGCTGGAATATAGCTAAAAGCGGCGTAAAACCATACACTCACTCACTCACTCACTCACTCACTCTAAATGAGGATTGGGTGGTTAATGTGCCAGCTGAGAGTGGTTTAGTACTGGGATCAGTCAGCTTCTGTGGGGATTCCAGGCAGAATAGCTCCCTAGTACCTAATGTTTGTCATTATAGCCGACTACTTATGGATGGGTGAGGTGAGGGGGTAAATGGGGTTTAACGTCGCGTCCAAGATTATTGCACTTATATAGCGACGTGCATGCACGTGTGTGTGGCTGCTTGTACTAGTCCAGACTGATGCCGATTTATAGTGCTAGCCCACTGAGATACCATGCCGCAGTTTAACATGAATACCCCACTCAGACAAAGTGTACTGACTCCGAGCCGACCAGTCCTTGTTTTAGCCCCTTAATGCCGAGCGCCAGACAGGGTAACAACAAGTACCATCTTTTAACGTCTTTTGGTATGACGCGGCAGGGGATCAAACCTTATTATGGATGGGTTGTTATGGTCTCACGTTTGTTTAGATTTGATGCCTCTTTCCTTGATAGAAGCAGGAAGCTCATTGGTTGCCATGGTTATTGTAGTCTAGTTAAAAAACATTTTTGGACCTACTGGTTTTTCTAACCATTAACAATGAGCACTCATGGCCCAGATCCTGGCTAGGATAGGTCTTCAGCGACCCATGCTTGCCTTTAATGGCGACTGTGCTTGTCGTAAGAGGCGACTAATGGGATCAGGTGGTCATGCTCTCTGACTTGGTTGGTCAGACTGCTGTCATATGGCTGGAATATTGCTGAGTGCGGCGTTAAACAACAAACAAACATGGTATAAGGTGAATAAATTGCTTTGCCAGATTTGCTGGTCCTGGGGCTCACTCACTCACTCACTCACTCACTCACTCACTCACTCACTCACTCACTCACTCACTCACTCACTCACTCACTCACTCACTCACTCACTCACTCACTCACTCAGACTGCAAACGTGGTCTAGTGGTAGCCCGTCCGTCAGCAGAAGGTCTGGGGTTCGATCCCCGGCTGCGTCATACCAAAAGACATTAAAAGATGGTACTTGTAGTTACCCTGTCTGGTGCTCGGCATTAAGGGGCTAAAACAAGGACTGGTCGGCTCGGAGTTAAACTGCAGCATGGTATCTCAGTGAGCTAGCACTATAAATCGGCATCAGTCTGGACTAGTACAAGCAGCCACACACACACATACACGTGCATGCACGTTGCTATATAAGTGAAATAATCTTGGACGCGACGTTAAACCCCATTTCACCTCACCTCACCTCACCTCACCTCACCTCACCTCACCTCACCTCACCTCACTTCACCCACTCACTTACTCACTCACTCACTCACTCACTCTCTCACTCATTTATTTCAGCTGCCAAGAAGATAGTGCTGAAGCCCGCTGATGAATCTCAAACAAAACTCTCTAAGTGCTTGAAACTGAGCTCTTCCCAGCAACAACAGAAGATGGGGGACGGTTCTGGTTCTGTAGATGAGAAACTCACAGACCTCTCACTGACAGACTCCAAGGACCAATCAGCTAACGGCAGTGACAAGAGATCAGAGAATTTAGATAGCCAATCAGCTGCCTTCAAATTTGAGACATCGGATAACCAGTTTCGCTTTAACTTTACAGGAAAAGGAAAGGTGGATGAAAAGGTTGAACTAGACGGTGAAAGTATAGGAACATGAAATAAGTAACTATGGAAGCCTTTTAGGGCCATTTGTTTTTTTGTTTTTTCCTTGAAATTTCAAGGTACTAAGTTGAAAATTTAAGATACATTCTAAGTTGAATTTTCAAGGTAATGATCTTTCAAGATCTTTTAAGATTATAACTTGAAATTTCAAATAAGTATCTTTGAAATTTCAACTTAGTATCTTTGAAATTTCAACTTAGTATCTTGAAATTTTCAGAAAAAAATAAAAAACAAATGGCCCTAAAAGGCTTCCATTCTGGACTCATGTGCATTAATAATTTTTTAGTTTCAAATGTAAAAAATTGAATGATTTCAATGTGTATGATATGTTATTTTTTAAATAAATATCTAAAAATCACATATTTTGTTTATTGTTTTTGTCTCCCCAGTATAAGACATTAAGGGAAACAAGGTTTGTGCCAATTGGCCGTCTTTGCCAAACTGATACATACTGGGTTTTACGTGACACACAAATGTGCATCCAGTTCGCACAAATGTGATTGGACACAGAAAAAGAATATATTGAATCCTGAGAATGCACAATAATCATTGTACCTACAGCGCATCAAATCGATGTCTAATTGTATCCATCAATCATCACTGTCCACATTATCATTGATTCATTCCAGGCTCTGAAGTAATTATGTAAACGTACGGTACACTAGACCGTTTGATCTGCTGGCTGGTTTGTTGTTTAATGCCGCACTCAGCAATATTCCAGCTATATGACGGCGGTCTGTAAATAATCGAGTCTGGACCAGACAGTCCAGTGATTGATATCATGAGCATCGATCCACGCAATTGAGATCGGTGACATGCATCAACCAAGTCAGCGAGAATGACCACCCGATCCCGTTAGCGATCACTTTACATGACCCACTTTACAAGGACCTTTAAAATATATTATTTGGGCCTCCTGGACACCCAATTTTGTAAGTCAAGGTAAAGCTCAGCACATACATTCTTACTTAAAGGGGAAGTGTACACGCAAAAATTACTTTCTTTCTTTTTCTAAACCAAACGCAATTTTAGAATTAGTTAGTATCTGTGTTTGAAAATATACACTCATTTTTTTCACAGTGAAAGTAGGAAGCTCACAATAGTGTGAAAATGATATGCCGTTATGAGGCCTTCGTTTTTCGAGCTAAACAGGCCTGAGTTATCTCCCTTAGATTATGACGTAATTGGTGCCAATTCAACTGGGTCCCTGTCTATTCTGAACGCAAAAGATATCAAGTACAAGTTTTCGGTAAAACAACATGGCCTACGACACACTCCGGTGCAGTGGTGACTCAGCATAACACTATGCTGGCTGGCATCTGAGACGCTAGAATCACACACCTGTACCTACACCACGTGAAGCGGCTCTAACAAAGCATGATGACGTCATAATGTTTATCAATCGGCACCAATGACGTCATATTGCAAGGGGCATAAGCCATGGTGTTTTTGTTATGGAAATAGAACACTTGGTAAATGTGAAAAATATAAATCGTTTTAATGCAAAACATATGTTGATTAATTGTGATATTTTTATATTTTTGTCTATGACACTTCTAGGTTAACACTTTTATTGTGGAAAAAGTACAAGAAAATTAGGTTCATTTCTGTGTGAACTTGCCCTTTAATATTTGATCTTGCCACCCCGATACATTAATACAGAAACCGCCTCTGTGGACTAGTGGTAAAGCGGAAGGTTCGGGGTTCGATCCCCGGCCACGTCATACCAAAATCGTTAAAAGATGGTACTTGTTGTTACCCTGTCTGGCGCTCGGCATTAAGGGGCTAAAGCAAGGACTGGTCAGCTCGGAGTCAGTATACTGTGTCTGAGTGGGGTATCCATGTTAAACTGCGGTATGGTATCTCAGTGGGCTAGCACTATAAATCGGCATCAGTCTGGACTAGTACAAGCAGCCACACACACACACGTGCATGCACGTCGCTATATAAGTGCAATAATCTTGGATGCGACGTTAAACCCCATTTCACCCACCCCACCCCACCTCACCTCACCTCACCTTTATTATTTACTTTTGGAGCTGGTCATTTGGTTTTAAGATACATAAATCAGATATGCTGGTTTGAAGTTTTTGATAACCGAGAATTGTTAAGACTCGATGCTGATTGGTTGATAGAAAGTTCATCTAAGAGGTATTGTATCAGTGTAAAAAATTTGATTTTAATGAGATTGCTTCAAAAAGGGGGTTCACAATCCTGTATGCAGTGTTGTGGAGTTTTGAAACTTACTGTGCAGAGTTGTGTCCCTTTGCTGCATCTAAACCCAAGCTTCTCTCCAGCGTATGACACCTTCGAAACACTCTCGTAACATCGCTGCCACCAGTGTAGGCGCGGCCATTACAAGAATCTAGAATTTTGCCCTCTAACCCCAAATCTAGTAATGTTTATACTTTTGTTTATGTCTTTGGGAATGCCATCATAGTGAATTTTGAAAAGGTTTACGACCGACCATATTTCCAAGATGAATTTAACTATTTGTTTGTTTGATCAGATTGGTTTGAGATTGCAGACAAACGGAAAATCAACTAACTTACCCCTTACATTCTTACTATATCAATTGCATGATAGTGGTAAAGAAACAGAAATTCAAATTGACGAACAAAGGAAATAGCTTTGCAGGGGTAAGAGTATTTGGCGTCACAGCAGTCATCACTTGTTTGTAAACATAACAGTCCGTCGGCTGCGAGTTCAACTCCAAGCATGGTTGTAGCCACCTTTCACTGTGGGGAGCTTTGACTGGTGACAGCAATAATATAGAGAGCTCTGCTAACCGGATATCAGTGTCAGGAGCTTGCATCTAAACCTACAGCTACCATCCTCCTGTGACCAGGTTCCTTCACAACATGGGATATTGTGCGGTAGCCTTGGTTTGCCATAGGGTTTCGATTCCAACATTGGGACAACATTAGAGTGAGTGAGTGAGTTGGGTTTAACGCCGCTTTTAACATTGTTCCAGTTATATCATGGCGTGTCAGCTTGATGTGGGAGGAAAGCCCGAGGTGATGCAGGTCTCAGACGTTTACCACTTTGGTGAAACCCACGAGCACGGGTATGGTGCTGACAAACCTAGAAACATAATCGGGGCAACCCGGATTTCGAACCCACAATCATAGGTTTCTGGCGTGTCCAAGGGACACAACTCTGTACAGCGAATCGCGGCGCCTTAGACGACTGGGCCACCCGTGCTCCCGACCACATTAGAAGATGTCCCTGATATCATCGTGCTTGATTAGTGCTAAACTCACTCACTCACGGGACAAAGATGGCCTAGTAGCCTTGGGCACTGCTAAATTACCTGGATCTGCGGATAATGGGTTTGAATCCCAGATTAACCACATGCTCTGATGCAATCAAAATACAACTCACTCTCACAAAATAATGTTCACATCCCCAGTTGTCAGGACAATAGTCATATATAACAATATGTTCACATCAACATAGATTTTATTTACAAAATATACATGTTACGGTAATGTACAGAGTTACAACTAATAGTCTTCCTGGAATCACTCGTTTATGTTATTTACAATGGGAATGGTTGGTTGGTTTGTTGTTTTACGCCTCACTCAGCAATATTCCAGCTATATGACAGCGGTCTGTAAATAATCGAGTCTGGACCAGACAATCCAGTGATTAATATCATTATTATATTCAGTGAAACAATAACAAAATAATTTTTTGGCCATGGTTTGACCATGTTGACAGTGTTAATGATTTTTTGTTTATTATACATGCTATGTACTAACTTATCCAGGTACCAATATCTGCTAAAATGCGACAATGACCAGTGACCACATTATTGTCAAATTAAATATAAATATCTTTGAAGAAATCTATGTGTGGATATAATTAATTCTTATTGATATTTTTAGTTAAAAAACACTCATTTTATTTTTTTTCGTAAATATTCGATTCTTGCGTCCACGAATAACGAATAACGAATTCAATTCATGAAGGGATATGGTTCGATTCACCGAATACACAAATGAATCGTAACAGCCCTAGTGTGGAGTGTGTTTAAGTCAGACAAACAAACAGGGATGGTGGAAAATTTTGATACTTGAGAATTTCACTATATCTGTACTACGAAAAAAACCAAAACACACCCAATTCTTTCGCATTAGCCATGACAGAGGAACTATTGTAAAATGAAAGAGCTGGGTGGTCCTTAACTTGTTTTGAGTAGTATATAATAAAAGGGAATTATTTTTTGTTCATTGCGTTCCATATGTGATGTTTAAAAGGAATCCTTGCAGGAAAAGAAATTATTTTTTATTTTCATGAGTTTACAAAAATGATGTGCCACAGAGTTTCCATCTAGCTAATAGTAAAAAATGTCACCCGTCCTTCTGGAAATTTACTGTTCTCAGACTGGTGAACTTTGTTAATTGGAAACACTGGATGCACCACTGCATCAATGAATCATTTCCCCCAATCAACTTCCTTATGATCACATGACCTCCCACTTCACGTCCCTCGCTGAAACAGTCCGAGCATCGCCAGGAATACTTGTATCACAGCTGACATCTCTTCACACCTTGAATGTAATTTCTTTTGACCTTGGTTCGTGCACACCTGGTGGTTGCCATGACGGCACGTCATCGCCGTAGCTTGGCGCATAGTAGTAGTGTCTGCGTATGTGATGATTCTGTTCACATAAACTGGTGACACCGTCGACAACATAAGGCTTAACATCTGTGTCTGTCAGATCCAGGCGTCCAGTTTCAACAAGATTTGCAAATGCCTGAAACATACATATAACGTCAGGCTCGCTGGCTTGGTTGATGCATGTCATCGATCCAAATAGCGTGGATCGATGCTCATGATGTCAATCATTGGATTGTCTGGTCCAGACTTGATTATTTACAGACCGCCATCATATAGTTGGAATAATGCTGGGTGCGGCGTTAAACAACAAACAAACCAAAACGTTACACTAAAATCATGTTTGTTGATTTTATATTGTTTGTTTGTTGTTTAACTCGGCACTCAGCAATATTCCAGCTATAGGATCTCAGTCTGTAAATAATCAAGACGGGACCTGATAACCGTTTGATTGATACTTGTAGCAACTATCCATGGTGTTGGGGTACGATGACAGGCCATCATGCAAGTTACCGAGCCTGACCCCTCGACCCACATAGTCGCCTTTAACAACAAGGAGGAGCGGTCGGGTAGCCTAGTGGTTAAAGCGTTTGCTCGTCACGCCGAAGACCCGGGTTCAATTCCTGACATGGGTACAATGTGTGAAGCCCATTTCTGGTGTCCCCCGCCGTGATATTGCTGGAATATTGCTAAAAGCGGCGTAAAACCAAACTCACTCACTTACAACAAGGATAGGTTGCTGGGGACCTGTTCTAACCCGGAATCCCCATGTATGTGATGTCCCTTGGTTATGGTAATTTTTAGAAACACCATAAGGCAAAACTTTTGAAAAAACCCATTAATCTTAATTCTGCTAACACCTAAACAAATCGGGGGGAAATCAAATCAATTTTTTAATGAAGTTAAATGAAGCTATTTGGTGTTTGCTACACAAACATGGAGCATACTATAGGTCAAACTGTAGTGAGTGAGTATGGCTTAATCCAGGGTTATAGCAATATTCCAGCAATATCACGGCGGGGGACACCAGAAATGGGCTTCACACATTGTACCCGTGTCGGGAATTGAACCCGGGTCTTTGGCGTGACGAGCGAATGCTTAAACCACTAGGCTACCCGACCGCCCCTGGTCAAACTGTAAGACAACAGGTTACAGAGTTTGAATTATGACATAAGCTAAACTATCAGTCAGATAGTAGAAACATTTAGGCTTAAAAAGATAAAAGCATGGGTTCTGAGGCAATGGCGTTAGAAAATATAGTGCAGGCCGGTGTGCGGGTGTTCGTTTTTTTTGTGTGTTTTATTTTGTTTTTTGTTGTTGTTCAAACAAGTATGTAGCCAAATAAACAGTTGTGTACAAACAACATGAGAAAGGGCCTCCCTATACAAATGTATTCCTTGATGATTAAAATACTGGAATACAGTATTTGACTACCTTAGACTTGGAATATTTAAGGATTTTGTAATTTTGTTAAAAATGGAAATGTGCAGTGAACTTTATGATGATGCGGGCGGTGCCTGAGAACCAAGACTATTGTTTTTGTTAGCCTTATAGGTAACCTTTTGAAAAACAAAAAGAATAATCTGAAATTTCTTTTATTACTGTTTTTTTTCGACCGGCATTTTCACATAAAATGTGGCCTATCTACTGATAACACAACATATCTCTTCTTGTTTCCTCTGCTATTGGCTGTAATTACATAAGTAACACTTTAGCTTATCACATAGTGTTGTCTGGAATCATGTCCCAATTAGTTTCATTGACTGATTGGTTTCAATTTTCAACCCAGAATAAAAAAAGATTTGCTAATTATTTTTTGGAGTTACAATGTATAGTTGAGAGATCGCTTTGTAGAACTTTTGTTTTGGTTTACTGTATGAATTTCCTTTCTTAGCCTGTTACAGAATAATCATTTCTTGTTGAATCACTCTCGACATGCTATACTTACAATACAGGCAGGTTCCTCGAGCTTGTTGCCCCAGATGAACACTTTAGACAGAGAGGTGTTGGTCTTCATACTGTCTGCGATCGCACACAGGCCCTTGCTGGCGATGTTGTTGCTCACGATCACAAGCCTACAAGGGGGAAAATAATTACTACAAAGTTTCTTTCATTCGTTCTCAGCAACATTCCAGCTACATCGCGACAGCCTGAAAACAATGGAGTCCGTGCCAGACAAACCAGTGACTGAAAGAATGAGCAATCTAACACTGAGCCATCTAACCGAAAACTCTCACCTTCGGGCTAGACATCTTCCCGAGGCAAGGGAGTTAATTGACTATTAATGTCCAGTTTCCACCTTTGCTGAACTAGGCCGGAATGACATTTTGGTTGGACTAACGAGTCTATGCATAGTCCAATCAAAATCGCGCAATGAAATCAAAATCAGGTTTATAAACTGTCATGCAGATTTCGGTCAATTGCAGGATTTGCAAAGCATGTGCACTGCCAACTTGGTGTCAACAGATATTTTCCAATTATTTTGGATTTTTTTGTTTTCAATCAAGGTGCTCACGTGATTTGATGCACTTCACATAAGATCCGTTTTATCACACTATAGATCTTGATGATCAATCTGATCGTCTTGACTGGGTGCTGCCATTTTGTTTGAAGCAAATGCAAGTGATACTAGGGGTGGAATCTGATTGGTCAATAGGGGGGACATAGAAGGGACATAACTCTTAATAGCCACTGGTGGGGCGACGATCGAACCCAGGAATTCCAGCCTAGTTCGGCAAGGGTGGAAACTGGACTTTTATAGTCAGTTAACTCTCTTGCCTCGGGAATATGAGTCAATGCTGGAGTTACAACAACAAGAGCAGAAGAAGCAGTCGTAAAATCTCCATTCAGTGTCATTTCAAAAACAAGAGACACAGAATAGTGATTGTAACTGAATATGTACCGCATTCGACGTAATAAGCGCCCCGCTCTAATAAGCGCCCACGGCGTTATTTGCTAATATATTTGCTAGTGAACAATCCCAGTTAGCACCCTTTCCGATTGATCAATGTACACAAGACTTATTTATTCATGTATAATACACACTCGTTTGTTATATGCACCCTTAATTATGGGCAATTATATTCTCAATAATATATCTATCGTGTATAATACACACAGATTCTTTTTTTATATTATTTCAGGCTGTCAGCATAAAGCACAAAATTTACAATCTTTCAACCTCGTTTTTAATCTCACCAAAATTATATTCTAATAAGAGCCCCCTATTTCTAATTTTGAGAGCGCCCTGGGCGCTTATTACGTCGAATACGGTAATAAAGGTAAGTCCTTTAGGAGTTTCTTCTAATTTGTAAATGGATCTGCCAACCACAGATTTTACAAATCTTCAAAATGAAACTTTCGAGAAGTTGTTTTGTCTTTCTGCCAAACATATCAGTGATCAGCGAGTTCAGTTGTTACAAAGCATCACAGAGGTTGGTTGGTTGGTTGGTTTGTTGTTTAACGCCGCACTCAGCAATATTCCAGCTATACGACGACGGTCTGTAAATAATTGAGTCTGGACCAGACAATCCAGTGATTAATATCATGAGCATCGATCCACGCAATTGGGGTCAATGACAGAGGGGCTGAATGGACAGGGGTATAACCATATTTCTTTTTGTTCCTCAAAGGTGTTTGTTTTTCCTAACAATACTTTGACATGACCACCTTAAGAAAAACATGTTTAGAAAAATGTCCCTTGTATCTTTATTTGTTTATTAACCCTATAGCTTTGGAAGAGAAATCCCCTACCCAAACAAACAAACAGGCATATGATGACTTTGCTAGCTCACTACTACTGTCAGGGGGTATGGGCGGTTCAGCTGTCTTAGGTGCTGCAAGTCACTGTGCAGAGTTGTATCCCTTAGTCAAGTCAGGATCCTATCGCTTTGACCTAATCATGATCTTTAGTTTGTCAAGACCCTGCTAGTGGTTGTGAAACAATTACACACATACTGTCATCTATAGATTCCATGAATTGTGACATTTGTTTTCATTCTCCTTCAATCTCAATAAGCAAAAGAAATCTAATTTGAGTGAGTGAGTGAGTGAGTGAGTATGGTTTTTACGCCGCTTTTAGCAATATTCCAGCAATATCACAGCGGGGGACACCAGAAATGGGCTTCACACATTGTACCCATGTCGGGAATCGAACCCGGGTCTTCGGCGTGACGAGCGAACGCTTTAACCACTAGGCTACCCAACCGCCCCTAAATCTAATTTGAAGATGTTGAAGTTAAATTAACACATTGAACACAGATGGGAGGAGGGCAAAGGAGGGGCACCCTGACTGATAAGTGTTTTATCTATGGTCCCAATCTGAAATTTTTGTTCATAATTTTTCTCCTAAAATTTGTTACGATTCCTCCAACTCTATAAGGCCAGGTGTTTTATACTTTTCAGATTACGGACCCGTCGACTGATGTAAATCTATATTTTCATTAGGGATACAAAGACACCTGGATTTAACTTCGAACACTAACGAGTCTGCGTGTATTTCAAACACATACGTATTAAGTGTCATGTTGCAGGTTGCCAGGGCGTCGGCAAGATGCAGAGCACCGTCATCTTCAAGTCTGTTGAATCCAAGATCAAGTGTCTTCAGTGCTGTGTCTTTCTTCAAAACTTTGGCCAACTCTTTCGTGCCATCTCGCGTGATTCTGTTGCTGAAACACAAACCGACCAATCAACATCATATACAGGCGGCAAGCCCACCCGATACTGAGGTTCTGGGATCTCCTACGTAGAACTTATTATCTCCTACGTAGGACTTAGTATCTCCTATGTAGGAGATACTAAGTCTTACATAGGAGATAGTGATTCTAGGCAATACTAAGTCCTACGTAAGAGATAGTAAGTCCTACGTAGTAGATAGTGATTCTAGGCCATACTAAGTCCTACGTAAGTGATAAGTCCTACGTAGGAGATAGTAAGTCCTCCGTAGGAGATACTAAGTCCTAAGTAGGAGATAGTAGGTCCTACGTAGGAGATAGTAAGTCCTCCGTAGGAGATACTAAGTCCTAAGTAGGAGATAGTAGGTCCTACGTAGGAGATAGTAAGTCCTCCGTAGGAGATACTATGTCCTAAGTAGGAGATACTTAGACAAAAAAAATTCACCATGGCCCTACTATGCTTTCGTAGTCATCGGGAGTGCTCCACATGTTTGGTTACGCTACGTTCCTCCATCACCTGTACCACAGCCATTGGCAGTGTTGTCACTATATTCACACAACACATCAAATGACTGGGTCTAGCAAAAGGGAAACCAATAAGTGTTCTAAGTCTCTGACCAGTTGGTGCAATATTTCTCATTTTACATTTGCGATAGCCTTGAATTCCTGATTTGCCTTGATAATGAATGATCCTTGGTTTGTCAGCGCCATTTGCACTTGGGTTTCACAAGCTGGAACATGTCAAGGGCTATATTCAGACTCCCTACCAACACTAGTTGAGTGAGTGAGTGAGTGAGTGAGAGAGTGAGAGAGTGAGTGAGTGAGTGAGTGAAATAGAGTGAGTGAGTGAGTGAGTGAGTAGATGTTTACCACTTCGAACCTAGAAACATGGCAGGGTTTCCCTGACACAGAAAACCAGTGGATTCAACACAATCTAATGAGAAAATACACAATATTATTTCTCCATTGCGTCAGTCATGATACAGATATGTCAAAATCCATTAATTGCACTATACTGTCTGACCATTAAAATTCAAAATAGACATAACGTATTCGACATAATAAGCGCCCCGCTCTAATAAGCGCCCATGGCAATATTTGCTAATATATTGGCAAGTGAACAATCCCAATCAGCACCCCTTCCGATTGATCAATGTACACAAGACTTATTTATTCGCATAAAATACACACTCCTGTGTTATATACACCCTTAACTATCGGCAATTAAATTCTGGAAAAATATATCTGTCATACATAAACATTTCAGGCTGTTAGCATAACCATGAAATTTATCTTTCAACTCTGTTTTTTCCACCAAAATAATATTCTAATAAGAGCCCCCTGTTTCTAATTTTGAGAGCGCCGAGGGCGCTTATTACGTCGAATATGGTATCCCTTGACAATCAAATATAACTGATATTAACTTTGTCTAATGTTGGAAAACCTAATGTCTCAAAAAGAACAAGCCTTCAGGCAAGCTCTCGGTTGCAGCCAATCAGAATAAAGTCTCAATAGTTGCCTAGTGGAGATTGTATTTCCTGTCAGTCACTGTCACGAATACGTTACGCCACATCATGTATAGAGTATTATATAGCAGTACCCTTATTAGTCTATATCAATCAGTTATCTTCAAATATGTTATAACAAATATTGGACATAACAAATAACACAAAAGTAATTAGATTACCAACTGTGCAGAGAGTAAATAGATACTTTACATGATTTAAACAGCTTGATTAGAGAAACAAGATAATATTGATGTAAGGGAGGTAACTCTAAACCCGGAAGTATTTCTATAAATAGAACGAATTTGCTAAGAGTTTCACAGTTTGGAATGGTTGTGTGAGTTTTGTGATGATGTCATATTAATCAGGAAGTTGTGTTGTCGGTTATTGTTTTGATCTGAACAAGTAAACATCGTTTGAGTTTACCGGCGACTTGAGTCTTCTTTCAGTATGTTTTAAAATAGAAATTAAATTTTGTTACGAAAACTAACATCAATAAGTATCTTGTTAAAATGCCCCTCTTCGAAAAACATACGACTCCCGGTATTACAGCTAAGGAAGCATCTCCCAGAACAAGCAGGGAACAGTCATGGCCACTTGCCACTAAAATTGACAAATACTGCAAATCGTGAAATTAATGCGTATCCAAAAGAATGCGACCACTGGACCCTAGACAAAAATGCGACTCAATATGAATGCGACACCCCCTCCTCTCAAGCCTCAGTTGATTTCTATCGAGAGACGTCCTCAGACAGGTTTAGAATCCTCACCTTAATCCAACCTTACATTAATCCAATCACACACCAAATAGCACCGCTTATTAGCGCTGAGTAAAGTACTTCCGCAAAAACAATACATGCCTGCTGGCTCGTGTCGGACTTTGACGCAGTCGCAAAGAACAAAGGGTGGCGTCTGTCTGGACTTGCAGGTGTGATCAGTGATGACATAAGTGAGAAGAACACTTGTCTTGACCCCAGCAGTGACAATTTACAGGACGTAATTAGTGTTTGAATGACATTGTTTATATACTTTAAATACAAGTGCTGCTCAATAAACAGTGGTGTGGAATACATCAGTGTGTGTCTAAGTTGGTATTTTTGCTATCCAAAATGTCTTATTGTTGATATAAGCAAAGACCACACGCATTTTTCGCATTTAATTCACGCTCGCGTTAATTTCAAGATTTACAGTATTATCGTTGGGGAAGCCTTTGCAATATTTCTGTGAAATCTTAAAATTGGATGAAATGACTGACAACTTGTTGTAGAGAAATATGTGAAAGTTGTAAATGATTATTGCTGAGAATGCGAGGTGTGGTCCAGATCCTCCTAATTAGGGTATGTGTCTTGACTTGATGGGTAAGTAGTCCAGGATATTTTGATAGATTCTAGCCACCTACGTCACAGTTACATCAGACCAGTGGTACGACAGCTCTCTCAGTGAGTTATAGGATGGCTGTCAACAGAGGCCATGATTAATCTGAACTAAATATCTGACTGAGAATATACGACTAACGACTCACAGCAATAGCAGTTACCTACTGCGTCACTTATTTCCTGTGGAAAAGAACACAAATATCACTCAGATGAGGAGTGTCATGTTTCTTTTCATGGACATCTATTCTATTATTCTATTATAGTGAGTGAGTGAGTTGGGTTTAACGCCGCTTTTAAAGGTATTCCAGTATTATCACGGCGTGTCAGCTTAATGTGGGAGGAAAGCCCGAAGTGATGCAGGTCTTAGACGTTTACCACTTCCGTGAAACCCACGAACATGGTATGGTGCTGACAAACCTAGAAACATAATTGGGGCGAACTGGGATTCGAACCCACAATCATAGGTTTCTGGCGTGCCCAAGGGAAGCAACTCTGCACAGTGAATCGCGGCGCCTTAGACGACTGGGCCACCCGTGCCCCCTTATTCTATTATGATAAACACACTGGACCCAAAGATTTCACAAAACAAAACAAATCCCATTATGCTGGACTCTTTTTATACGAGGCGATCACTACCATTGTCTGTGATTTTCACGTACTAACAACCTTGTACATGTGTTACCTCCTGCTCGATCAGTTCAACATACTCTATATAATAATTCAATATTATTCTGAACATAACAGTTGGGAGAAACAAATTCTGACGTTGGTATTTTACAAGGAATAAAATGTTATCTTGTTATTTTAGGTTGACCAATCAACAATTATGAATATGAAAAAATTACGAAAACAAGCTATTGACTTGCAATCATCAATCCAGCAACTACTTTGTCTTCTTATGATATATTTATTCGTTTTATGGCCACTGTGGTTTGTATCGAGGTGTCAATTACTTAATCGTGACAGTAATCCTGGTTGTAAAACATATTAGAGAGTTGTAGCGACCTGGCGCTTGTTATGTCTTGGTTTTTTAACGTATGCAACTAAATGTTTTATGTTGAAATATAGAAAATCAATTTATATAATAATGTTTTCGAATTTTGATGCAAAACGAATACCGGTAGGCTATTTCACTTTGGTAGTCCCACTTCTGAATTAAAGCTCCCCTCAGCTGGCGAAATATTTTAGAGAGGACTGAGAGAGGAAATACAGTCACTTGATTATTACTTTTTGCGTACGTGAAACCAACGAGTGAGTGAGTGAGTGAGTGAGTGAGTGAGTGAGTGAGTGAGTGAGTGAGGGAGTGAGTGAGTGAGTGAGTGACCTGAAATGGGCTTCATACATTGTACCCATGTGGGGAATCGACCCCAGGCCTTCTGCGTGATGAGCAGACGCTTTAACCACTGGGCTACCTCACCGCCCCATGGCATGGTGCTGAGAACCTAGAAACATAATTGGGGAGAACCAGGATTCGAACCCGCAATCATAGGTTCCTGGCATGACCAAGGGACGCAACTCTGCACAGCAAATTTAGGCGCCTTAGACGTCTTGGCCACATCCATGTCCCCGACAAGCAATAGGGTGCTAGAGACCTATTGTAACCCAGTGACTGTGATTTTAAAGCAAGTGCTATACCAGCTGAGGTCGAGATATGTCAGGGTGTAGTTTTCCATGAGGCATTCCGCCAGACGAGTTGCTCCGAAGTCTCGCATATCGTACTTCTGCAGATGTAATTCTTCCAGACTCCGGTTTACCTGTGCAACAAAACCAGGGCATCGAGTTAACTGTCAACTAGAAAACTATCCCCTCTAGGAAAAATTATTCTTGCGAAAACTGTCCCGAAAAGAACCAGTACATGCAGAAGATGACATTCTTATAGTTGTTGTGTGGTGTTACTAAAGTAATACAATAATGATGCCGCTGAATACTTAGTAGACATTCATGCTGTGTTTTCACTGTCCAAGGTTATCCGTAGATTTAAAAGGATTTAACTGGGATTACAAACTCTTAACTCCAAACTGGGATAAAAATTGTTAGTTGTTCATAATTGGTTTTTATTTTCTTACATTTAGGCTCTAAAGCATTAAGGTAGGGGGAGAGGTGATGAAGAAGGGGATGCAGGGATAATGGCCAACATTTTAATATTATCAATTCAATAAACCTATCTGACAAACTTGGTATCACGATCCGATAGATATGCAAATAAGGTCACCTTGCAGGAACTACTTTTAAGTTCCATACATTGATGCATTGCCTACTGTCTCAATAAACTAATAAACTAGGGGGTTGAGAGTGTGTGTGTGTATTGGGGGTAGGGGGGTGGGGGGAGGTAGTGTGTGTGTGTGTGTGTGTGTGTGTGTGTGTGTGTGTGTGTGTGTGTGTGTGTGTGTGTGTGTGTTGGGGGGTGGTAGTGTGTGTGTGTGTGTGTGTGTGTGTGTGTGTGTGGGGTGGTAGTGTGTGTGTGTGCGTGTGTGTGTGTGTGTGTGTGTGTGTGTTTGGGGGTGGGGGGGGGGGGGTGGGGGGGAGGTGTATGTGTTGGGGGGTGGGGGGGGAGGTGTGTGTGTGTGTCTACAACATACTACATTTGGCTTCCAAAAGGTGGGGGTAGGGGACCCTGGACCCCACCTCTGGATCCGTCTATGCATGGAGTGGTCCACTCAAATACTAATTCCATGTTAACATAGTTAGAAACTGTTTCAGTTTTGTACAAGTGACATGTATTTCACTAATTACAGGACCTATTAGGAGGAAGAGGCTCTAATGCACATTATTGCATTGATTGCATTGTTAAACTACAATGTTTAAATACCTTTGAATTTCAGAAAATATGAACTTAAAAAATCTGAATTTTGACCAAAATAAAGACTTTTGTGCAGTCTGTCCAACTGGCACTTTATTTGGAGTCCTATGCTGGTATATCATTAATTGAGCCATGCCTACTGTCATTATGTGTGACAGCTTACACAATCATCACCATGACAGAAGAGGTCACAATAATTACTATGACAGGAGGGGAGCTTGACTGACGTCTTACTTTAAGCATTTTGGAGAAGTGGACCGTGGTCTCCTCTTGGTGTGTGAACAGGATGGGTCTGTTCACGTTCAGTGCTTTCAGGGTCTTGTTCTGGTTCAGCACAGTTGCCATGGCTATGACACTCTCAATTGTCTGAAAAAACAATTTCGATTTCCTGCAGATTTCACAATTTCTCAAAGAAATTTCTCAGAGAAGTATTTTTAAAAAATGAAAACATCTTAAATAAAGCACATATTTCTCCTATTTTATTCCCGCTTTCTGCAAAACACAGACCTGGCATATTTACAAAAATAACCTAACTTGATCTTAAAAGTACAAAAAGAACATATTTGAAAAAGTTTGCATAATTTACAATATACTCTTACAATCAAGGCTTAAAAAAATACTAGTCTTTGTTCTGCCTGCATCATCATAAAGGCTGCTGCACGTTTCGTTTTTATATCTCTTTTCAAAATAATAAAAAACAAAATTATAATACGAACACTTGTATAAAATGCTACAATACTTAAGAGGAACATGATATCGCTGAAATTATTGTAAACAAAATTTGGTTACATATTACCGTGAGTGAGTGAGTGAGTGAGTGAGTATGGTTTTACGCCGCTTTTAGCAATATTCCAGCAATATCACGGCGGGGGACACCAGAAATGGACTTCACACATTGTACCCATGTCGCATATTACCGTGAACATCCCCCCCAAAAAACACTGCCCACCTGCACTATATTTTCAAAAGCCATTGCCTGAGAACAATTTTTTTTTTTTTTAAAGCCAAAGACATCATGTTTGCATTACAGAGTAGCATCCCCAATATTTTTTCAAAGAGTCAAAACATATGCTTTAACCATTAAGAAGAATTTTTTGTTAATAATGTTGTTTTACTTAAATCATGAAATCGGGAATTTAACCTGAAATCAAACCTGACAAGACATCAATTTTGAATCATGCATCGTACCGACCTAGAAAATATGTGTATCACGAAGAAACAGATTTGTGTACGTCATCCATTTTTGGAAGTCAGAAACAATGAGTGAGTTTGGTTGAATGCTGCTTTGAACAGTATTTCAGTTATATCATGGCATTTCACTTTGATGTGGGAGGAAAGCCAGAGAGATGCAGGTCTTGGACATTTACCCACGTGCACACGATATGGTGCTTTCAAACCTAGAAACATCGTCAGGATGAATCAGGATTCAAAGCCGTGATCACAGGTTTCTGGTAGGGCTTGGATGAGTCCAAATCTACTACCCGGGTACCCGACCCCCTATTACCCAACCCTACCCGGGTACCCACTGCAAGTTTCAAGAGCTGGGAACAAAATGTCTGATTGGTAAATGTTTTACTGCAGCCCTGGCTAAAACTATGCGTTCACTGAAGTGTACTGAAGCTTCATCCTTACTCAAACATATACAAGTCAAAAGGAATGTGTGCATCGTCAGAAAGAAATGCGAACATTAGCGACTTGTAGTCTAACCACTGAGCTATGGTGAGTTTTTGTCATTAATATACATTATTGTTATTACAATATGTCACGTGACTAACCATGGGTCCGGGTAGTCCTGTGGGTACCGGGTCCTACTCAGGACCCACCCGACCCGGGTACCCGAGTTACCCATCCCAGCCCTAATTTCTGGCATGCAACTCTGGCACACAATTCTTCACAGTTATTTGCGGCATTGTAGACAACTGGGCATCTTCCCGAAGCAAAAGAGTAAACTGACTTTAAAAGTCCAGTTTCCACCCTTGCCGAACTAGGCTAGAATTACTGGGCTCGATCATAGCGCCACCAGTGGCTATTACCAGTTATGTCCCCTCTAAGCCTCTCATATGGTCCAATGAGATTCCAGCTCTCGTATCACTTGCGTTTGTTTCACCGAAAATGGTGGTGCCCAGTCAGGACGATCTGATCATTAATCAAGATCTATATTGTGATAAAACAGGTCTTACATCGCGAAATACATCAAATCATGAGAGCACCTTGATTAAAAACATGAAAAGATTTGGAAAATATCTGCTGACAACGAGTTGGCGGTGCACATGTTTTGCAAATCCTGCAATCTACCGAAATCTGCACGACAGTTAACGAACCGGATTTCGATATCGGTGCACGATTTTGATTGGACTATGCATAGACTCTTTAGTCCAGCCAAAATGTAATTCCATAATACCAGCCTAGTTCGGCAAGGGTGGAAACTGGACTTTTATAGTCAGTTAACTCACTTGCCTCGGGAAGAAGACGACTGGGCTAAATCCTTACCATGTCAGTATCTCCAACGTCCAGGGCCTCTAAGGTCAAGTTGACCTGCAGGGCTTGAGCGAAACACATCCCTCCTTTGTTGCCGATTTTATTCCCAGTCATCCTCAACGTCCGAAGTGTCTCATTAGTCTGGCAAAAGAATATATTAAATTTAAAATATTGCTTAGAACTTTTTACACTGTCTTAACTATTGCATAACAAACACTAAAAAAAACCAAACCAAACAATCATTCCCCCAAGTGGGTGAGTGAGTTTGTTCAATGAGGCTTTTAACAGAAAATCAGTTATAGAATATTGGCTTCATGTGGGAGGAGTGCAATAATTTGGTAATGGTTTTCAAACTTTTCTGAAACCCATAAGCATGGGTATGTTGTCAGACCAAGGATTCTACTCCAGGTGAGTCTGACATTTAAACCCTCGATCAGCAAATCACATCTTCACTAAGGGAGGCAACTCTGCATAGTGAGCCACCCAGGCCTACACACTCCGTCGCAGTGGTGACTCAGCATAACACCACTGCCACAGGCTAATTTGCATATCACGTGACCGGACTTTTCTCTTGTTTGTAAACAAACGCGCTTTTTCAGAAATCAGTATAGAACGGACTAATGCAAGTATTTGGGGGTGCTTTACATATTGTTTTGCATAACTATATAGATATGCTACTACAACTGCGACAGTGAGTTGCATGACAATATATATTTATGCATCAAAGTGACTGTGTCGCTAGCTCTCCGTTGGGCTTCGATGACAGCACGTGGAGCCAATGTAAACATAGGATAACTACGCAAAAACAAGTAGATTTTTACATATTTGCATATTTTCTCAATGAAAGTTAACCATTCTTTGACATTTGTTTATGAAAATGTGTAGACTTGTCAAACATGAAACGGATGAAAAGCATATGCAACATCTTGAATGGACTGTGAAAGATGTGATGAAGGTACTATGCTGGCTGGCTGCCGGCCGCATGGAACTCTGGGTAGGAGAGTGCCAGGCCTACCCAAGCCTGGAACAGTGATCTGCATGTTTCCGATGTCAAGGTTTTCCCGAGAAGGGAGAAGACCTGCATGCTAAAACTATCCTGCTGAGAATATATACTGCTAGGTGTCCACAGCATCAGCTATACCTTGAACCTGACACACCTCATATAGTTTAGAACTGAGTGAGTGAGTATGGTTTTACGCCGCTTTTAGCAATATTCCAGCAATATCACGGCGGGGGACACCAGAAATGGGATTCACACATTGTACCCATGTCGGGATTCGAACCCGGGTCTTCGGCGTGACGAGCGAACGCTTTAACCAGTAGGCTACCCAACCGCCCCAGTTTAGGACTGCACACAGAGACGGTAGCAACACAAAAGTGCTTTAGGGTAAGAAAGAAAATGGACTGAAGTATTAGTACCAGCTACTCAAAAATATCACCTGGACTCGACAGGCTAATTTAAATGGTAAGATGGCAGACAATGCAGTATTCTCTTCCATGTCAGCAACATGTGAGAGAAGTGAAGATGAGAGTTATCTCCCCTGGTTGTGTATTCAAGTCCTTGACACAGGACACAGCTAAACCCCACTCATGCTTGCGTACCCTTCAGAGCCCTACAAATACACTGTATATAGTCAAGTGTTTCTTGTTTATTAATTAGTTTACAGATATGTCGACTCAAAACTTCACAATTCTTTTCTACTTTTTAGGAATAAACAAAATCATCAAAGTTCAAAATCAGAAGGTTACACTTTTTTTGTACACTTTTTCCTTTCTCTCTTATTTCATCAGACAAGTGTTTTGTTTGATTACATAAAGAAACAATTTTTGTTAAATTGTATGTTTTTTCTTACAACCACTAGCCCCAGTGTTGGGGAATCTGTGCCTCAATGTCCTTCTCACGAACCTGCAAGGCTTTAGCTATGTGTTCAGCTCCATCCGGACCGATGTCGTTGCCCATGAGGTCAAGCTCCTGGAGCCCCGGCGTCCCCTGGACAACAACATACGACATTCATAGAAACAGTTTCAAAACGTAAGTCATACTAGAAGCGTAACGCTATTTTTCAGGGCATTATCATTTGCAGAAGCTCGAGGTTTTCTATTAACTGCCCGACGAAGGAGGGCAGTTGAAAAGACCGAGGGCTTCTGCAAATGATAATGCCCTGAAAAAGAGCGTTACCGTTATTATAGCTAAAATGGATGGAATTTGTTATCAAATAAAAAGAAACGACAACATCGGTTTTGAAACACTTACTGCAATCAACACGAATGTCACTGACCACATTTTACAAATATTGAAACGTCATAGAACAAACCAGATGACGTCACTATAATACGTGACGTCATTTTCTCTACCCTATGACGTCACCTAACAACGGGCTTGATAATGGCCCGTCGTCAAGCAATATGAGGGCATTATCAAGTTACAGTGGCCCGCTCGTTTCTGATAACGTGCGGGCGGTTTAATGATAATTCTATCCATTTTAGCTATAAACACTGTTATATTTCTCAGTTTAAATAACACATACCGTATTCGACGTAATAAGCGCCCCGCTCTAATAAGCGCCCACGGCAATATTTGCTAATATATTGGCTAGTGAACGTTCCCAATTAGCACCCCTTCCAATTGATCAATGTACACAAGACTTTTTTATTCGCGTATAATACGCACTGGAGTGTTATATGCACCCTTAATTACGGGATAAAAAGCGCATAAAACATTATCAGCATTTCACAGGTTTGCATGTACTATGTGCCACCATCACAGAGGAACACACTATGTGTTTTAGTAGTGATGCGAGTCTATTTTCAGTATGCTAATAAGGCTGTTAATTACTCACAGACATGACCAATTACTACTATGATATTCAATCAATGTAGTGAGCAGACAGCTGAAGCATTAAACAACAATTTGCACGGGAAACATTGCTGTTTGTGTCGTGTAATCTGGTAATCCGATAGCTCGCTTATTTCGTTCTGACTGGCACCAGACACTGGTTGGTTCATTGGTCAAATTATATGTCTATGTCTGTCTGCGCCATACCCGTGCTCGTTGGTTTCACCAAAGTGGTAATAGTCTAATACCGGCATCACTTCGGGCTTCATGGTGGTGAGTGGTGTTAAACCCAACTCACTCACTCACTCATTGGTGAAAAATAGCGACTATGTATTCATGGATGATTGAGGAGCGTAGTGTATATAAACCTGTGAAGTACTGATGATGTATTCACGGTGAATAAGGAGGGTAGTGTATATAAACCTGTGAAGTACTGACAATGTATTCACGGTGATTGAGGAGTGTGGTGTATATAAACCCGTGAAGTACTGACAATGTATTCACGGTGATTGAGGAGCATGGTGTATATAAACCCGTGAAGTACTGACAATGTATTCACGGTGATTGAGGAGCATGGTGTATATAAACCCGTGAAGTACTGACAATGTATTCACGGTGATTGAGGAGTGTGGTGTATATAAACCCGAGAAGTACTGATGTTGTATTCACGGTGATTGAGGAGTGTGGTGTATATAAACCTGTGAAGTACTGATGATGTATTCACGGTGAATAAGGAGGGTAGTGTATATAAACCCGTGAAGTACTGACAATGTATTCACGGTGATTGAGGAGTGTGGTGTATATAAACCTGTGAAGTACTGATGATGTATTCACGGTGAATAAGGAGGGTAGTGTATATAAACCCGTGAAGTACTGACAATGTATTCATGGATGATTGAGGAGCGTAGTGTATATAAACCTGTGAAGTACTGATGATGTATTCACAGATGATTGAGGAGCGTAGTGTATATAAACCTGAGATGTACTGACGATGTATTCACGGATGATTGAGGAGTGTGGTGTTTATAAACCCGAGATGTACTGACAATGTATTCACGGATGATTGAGGAGCATAGTGCATATAAACCCGTCAAGTACTGACAATGTATTCACAGATGATTGAGGAGCATAGTGTATATAAACCCGAGAAGTACTGACGTTGTATTCACGGATGATTGAGGAGTGTGGTGTATATAAACCCGAGAAGTACTGATGTTGTATTCACGGATGATTGAGAAGCATAGTGTATATAAACCCGAGAAGCACTGACAATATATTCACGGATGATTGAGGAGCGTGGTGTATATAAACCCGAGATGTACTGACGATGTATTCACGGATGATTGAGGAGCGTGGTGTTTATAAACCCGAGATGTACTGACAATGTATTCACGGATGATTGAGGAGCATAGTGCATATAAACCCGTCAAGTACTGACAATGTATTCACAGATGATTGAGGAGCATAGTGTATATAAACCGAGAAGGACTGACAATGTATTCACGGATGATTGAGGAGCGTGGTGTATATAAACCCGAGGTGTACTGACATTGTATTCACAAATGATTGAGGAGCATAGTGTATATAAACCCGAGAAGTACTGACAATGTATTCACGGATGATTGAGGAGCATAGTGTATATAAACCCGAGAAGTACTGACAATATATTCACGGATGATTGAGGAACATAGTGTATATAAACCCGAGATGTACTGACGATGTATTCACAGATGATTGAGGAGTGTAGTGTATATAAACCCGTCAAGTACTGACGTTGTATTCACGGATGATTTAGGAGCATAGTGTATATAAACCCGAGATGTACTGACGTTGTATTCACGGATGATTTAGGAGCATAGTGTATATAAACCCGAGATGTACTGACGTTGTATTCACGGATGATTGAGGAGCGTGGTGTATATAAACCCGAGATGTACTGACAATGTATTCACGGATGATTGAGGAGCATAGTGTATATAAACCCGTCAAGTACTGACAATGTATTCACAGATGATTGAGGAGTGTAATGTATACAAACCCGTCAAGTACTGACAATGTATTCACGGTGATTGAGGAGCATAGTGTATACAAACCTGTGAAGTACTGACAATTTATTCACAGGTGATTGAGGAGTGTAGTGTATATAAGTGTATATAGTGTATACATACTGACGATTTATTCACAGGTGATTGAGGAGCATAGTGTATATAAACCCGTCAAGTACTGACAATGTATTCACAGTGATTGAGGAGCATAGTGTATACAAACCCGTCAAGTACTGACAATGTATTCACGGATGATTGAGGAGTGTAGTGTATATAAGTGTATATAGTGTATACATACTGACGATTTATTCACAGGCGATTGAAGAGCATAGTGTACATAAACCTGAGAAGTACTGACGATCAAAACAAACAGAACATTTCAAACCTCAATGAGTTTGGCGAGATGTTGAGCTCCTTCATCAGTGATGTTGTTGTAGCGGAGGTCGAGGGAAACAACATAAAGGTTGTTTTCTAGGGTCTTGTAGAGGGCCAAACAGTCCGGGTCAGCTAGCCGGCGGTCAGTGAGAAGCTTGTTGTTGCCGGCCAGATACAGGTGCATATTCTCTTTGAAGTCACTAAATTAAATATGGTACACACACATTATTACATGGATTCACCAGGACCTGCTCAAAGGCCGATTATCAGACCCAAGTCTGCAGTAAATATCAGTAAAAATTCCCATACTGGAATTAATCTCAATTCATATTTATATAGTTAGGGTCTGGTCATTTATTAGGGGTGGAGGGTGTGGGGTGGGGTTTGGGGTGGAGGTAGGGGTGGAGGGTGTGGGGTGGGGTTGGGGTTGGGGTTGGGGTTGGGGGTGGGGGTGGGGGTTGGGTGGGGTGGTAACATTTTTTCACGACCCCCCAAATACATGTAACATTATTCCATGTGCCCCCTTGTTTTAGTTTATGCCAAACAAACATGCAGCGTTAGAATTTGGCACTAGTCCTGTAGTCCTTGCCAAACTGCCCAATAGTTAAGGTATCCTAGGGACTAGTAGAAATTTGTCATTTTTAAGGGTTTTGCTATATGTTATCATTATAAGGACTAGTGGACTAAATATGTGAGTTTCTACCCCTGACATGGGTGTATTCTTTCCCTTGCCTAGCTGTTTACTTCTGAATTAAGAAAATATGAACTATCCCAATATTGAACAAAATAATGATTTTTTCCCATTTTGCCTGCAAAAGGCCCTTAGATTGGAACATAGTGGAATCTGATCTTGATTATTTCAACAAATAGTCCCTTTAGCTAAACAAAAAGACTTCCAGAGCTATTTCTTTTTCTTTGGTGAAATCACAGGTCTGGTTTCCTCACATTTGTCACACAAACCATTACCATACCCTGCTAAACTGACAAATTAGTTGATGTACTGCATTATTCTATGGGTGGACAGAGTTACATCCCTTTGACATGCCAGGATTCTATGAATGTGGGTTCAAACTGGTGAAATTGTCTTGGTAATACAAATGAGTTGAAATGATACGCTTTCACAATGTCAATTCAGCTCTGGATTTGATACTAATTTTGGTTCTCTAATCTGTACTGTGTCTGTAGTAGTCATAATTTCAGGGACATGTTTTCAGCATCATTTATCAAATTAAAACTTGACCATTTTTTTCAAACATACATTCATTAGAGTTTTCAGTATTCTAGTATATAATGGGCATGACAGTACGACAAGTGCTTCATCTTCTGCCCCATTTTTACAATTAAAACAAAACAGAAGGTGAGATCTGCATTCTCATATCAGCCATCTTCTATACAGAGAGGGGGCGGTCGGGTAGCCTAGTGGTTAAAGCGTTCGCTCGTCACGCCGAAGACCCGGGTTCGATTCCCGACATGGGTACAATGTGTGAAGCCCATTTCTGGTGTCCCCCGCCGTGATATTGCTGGAATATTGCTAAAAGCGGCGTAAAACCATACTCACTCACTCACTCACTCTATACAGCAAGGAACCACGCCACATCTTTATGTCTTGTCACGATATGACTGAAATATTGCTCATGTGATGTCCGCGTAGCGGATTCTTACAAAAGTTTGCACATCCGTTTTTCGATTCATACCTCAATGAACCGAAACAAAATACAGTCAATGCTTATAATTAAATTCGACAACGAAAACATTTTTCGAAAATAATATTCTAATGAGAGCCCCCCATTTTTAATTTTGAGAGGGCCCTGGGCGCTTATTATGTCGTATACGGTGGCCTGACGACTTGATTATGACTGCCTTAAGAATGCTGACAAATCAAAACAGAATGACAGTTATCTTCAGCAACCACACAATCACTTTTTGACATGCATGTAACTCTTAGAAAACACTTTTGAGAAAAAAATGTACTGCAATTAAAACAGAACTGCATTAATGATTATAATACAAAGAAGATTAGCTCTGCCAAATAACAGCATTCTTCATCTTCCTCTCAAGAGTCTCATCCCTCAGTTCCGATAATGGCACACTGTCGCATTACTGACAACAGTTGGAGATTGTATAATATTTTCTCCATGTGGGGCAAAAGAAAGTTCGCTTTTTTATGAGTGAGTGAGTATGGTTTTACGCCGCTTTTAGCAGTATTCCAGCAATATCACGACGGGGGACACCAGAAATGGGCTTCACACATTGTACCCATGTCGGGATTCGAACCCGGGTCTTCGACGTGACGGGCGAACGCTTTGACCAAGAGGCTACCCGACCGCCCCTCGCTTTTTTATGACATGGAAAATTGAAAGAGCTGTTAAATTTGTCACTTATTCCTGTAAGATTTGTAAACCGTCATCTGTGGCTGGGTTATGAAGAGTGGGATAAGAAATGAATTTGCAACCATTTGACCCCAACCATGTTCGAAATGTTGAAAAGATGCAGAAAAAAGCAAATTTATCGATTTTCAAGGATAACATCTCTACGATACCCATCAGCAGTTGTGAAATGGTACTGTATCATGAGCGTATGTGTGTTTAGGAATCACTATCAAATAGTGATGATACCAGGTGTTTATTGGTAGTAACCATCACAAACACATGCAAAGGCAAGTCAACTGTTCACCTGATAACACACGGGAACATATGGTACAAGTCAAAATAGGGAATTGCATTGGACATCATTTTTGTCAGTGATGCATCAAATTTGGAAATGTCCCCACATGTCTATCATAAACCTATTGAAAGCTTTACTGAGGCCTTGAATTCTGTAACCTTGACAAAGAACTTTTGATCAAGAGTCATATGGCAAAAAAATGTCATAAATGCCATAAGTAAATCGGTACCCTTTTTTCGGTACCTTTTCTGTAACTCATCTTCCAGTCAGCATCATGTTATGCTGCTTTCACGATTCAATCGGGATACTAAATATTTTGTGCTATTTTTTGGGCCGGGCTAACAAGAAGTCGTTGTTATTAACCAGTTTGTGTTTCACTCACTATTATGCAATCAGATTTCGTATATTAATATTTATAGGTGTTAAAGTAGTTTATAATCAGGCCAGGTTACTGTGAAACTGTGTAAATAGCACCTGTTGAGAAATGATGGGTAGGCTGACATCGTCTTACGTCAGGACATTATGGTCATATTTTTGGATCAGCTTTTATTGCAAGAGGTTTTTTTTATGAATCAAGCCCCAAAGAAATCTTGTTTTTTCACAATCTCATTCAAATCAGATCAATTATTCAGTTATGATCAGTTATGGGTCAAGATCAAGGACACATTCATGGGAGGTCTGTGAACTTTGACCGGCCAATCAAATGAATGATGAGTGTGTTCTTGAGCCAATCAGATGTCAGCTTTCTAAAATGGTTCAGCTTCATTTCTTTGCCACATTTATTCAAAAATTTTGATCTTGGAAGAAAAATAATGCCACAGAAAACACATATACTCTTGATAGTACACCTTTTAGCTGTCAATGCTCTTGTGATCAGTAACAACAGGATGTGTATAATATCCACATCAAAATGATAGTGCTGCTTTCTGAACTTGGTGTTTTTAGATTGTCTTCAGGATACAAAATTCAACACAAGAATGAAAGAGCACAAAACCTCCACCATTAAATCCGACAATAAATCCACCATCTTTGACCATATCAGCAACTGTCCTGATCACAACATCAACTGGGACAACATCCAAATCCTCTCCAACAACCTCCATGATTTCACTAAAAGAAAACTAACAGCAGCAGTCCACATTCGCCGCCACAAGCCATCAATCAACAGAGATCAAGGCTATTTCATCCCATCCGCCTACCATGAACTCATCAAACAATAATCACTTATCCTGTTTAATTGGCCTCATGTCCCATTGGCTTCCACCTATGTGTTCTCTGTCCATCGTGTTGTGACGGTATTGTCCCCTTGTCAACACCTTACCTATGTTATCCCACTCATAGATGCAATTGTTGTTACTGTTAATCCTCTACTGTTAATCCTCCACCTACTATATATATTCTGTACTAAGTCCCTCATTCAGTCTTGCTTGACAACGGTATAAGGATCTATACCGAAACATCGCTTTTTACAGTATTAAAGAAGTTGTTATCCATAAAATTGTGTCTACCTTGCCATCCATCAACTTCTAAACAATTTATACAAAATTCAGATATTCTGGTTTTTATACTTCGTTCACTCACACCGTGAATTAAGAAGCCTTGATACGGATTAGCTGATTAGAAAGTATAACTGACGCAACCTCCTAGAGGGGAGTTGTCACACCTTCATGCAGAGAGGTATTGTATCACAGTAAAAGATTTGAATTTAATGTAGGCATGTCATTGTTTATCGTGTTTTTGATAAATTTGTGCTAATAATAAAAAATATATCACGATAAATGCTGACATCTCTACATTGAAATCGGACTTTTTAATATCAATACAAATGTATCAATATTGATACTAAATTAATAACTGACTGCCACAGAAATGTTTACATGTTAAGATATCCAGGTTAAGATGGGGCATAAGAAAGCAGAAACTTTGAAACATTCAATATATCAGCCCAGTTCATATTAAGCATTAAGTTCAATTATCGTAGGGTGGCGGTCGGGTAGCCTAGTGGTTAAAGCGTTGGCTCGTCACGCCGGGTTCGATTCCCGACATGGGTACAATGTGTGAAGCCCATTTCTGGTGTCCCCCGCCGTGATATTGCTGGAATATTGCTAAAAGCGGCGTAAAACCAAACTCACTCTCTCACTCATTTATTGTAGGTCTAGATAGGACATTGCCATGTGTACACCTATATAAGATAGCTACGCGATAAATCACAAAGTACAACAAAGAATGGTTTATTTCATAACAAAACATTGTTTTATCATGACATCACTTTTTGGGGATTTCGAACATGCGCTCGCAAGTTGACGACGTCGCATATTGGGCAACGTTATTATTTTTGAGAAGGAAGTTACCAGTGAGTTGTTCCCCATAGATGGAGCAATGCAATGTAGGCCAATGCAGATAAACGGGATGGCCGAACGATCGCATCCAGAAGCGGGAGAGATATGACAATCGGTATTGGGAGAAAAGGTACAGGTAATCGACGTGAGGATTGTGACAATATGCGGGAAATACCAACCTGTTCATAAAATCGACT